GTGAATGTCAAAACCATTGGAATTCAGAGCAGAAGTAATTGGAGTTATTTTTGATTCTTTGGTATCTGTTTTCAAACCTCAATTACATTTTTAAATGACCACAGAAAAAATTCATTTTATATGTTACATTCAAGATGGCATGTGTTCTAGCACAATGGACAGCTCTGTTGTTTATTGATTTTGATGTTGTGTTTACATGTACATAAACATTGCCTTTCTCCTGCATTCAGGGTAAGCCCAGGAAATCATGCAGTCATCAGGGCACAGGTTCCGTGATGTGGAACATCATCCCCTTCTTGGTGAAAATGAGAATTATGATTCTTCATCCTCATCCTCATCTGAAGCTGATGCAGCAGACAGAATTTGGTTCATCCGGGATGGCTGTGGTATGGTCTGCGCTGTCATGACATGGCTACTAGTTGTCTATGCAGACTTTGTTGTGACTTTTGTCATGTTGCTGCCTTCCAAAGACTTTTGGTACTCTATGATCAACGGTGTTGTTTTTAACTGCTTGGCAGTTTTAGCCCTGTCATCTCATCTGAGAACTATGCTAACTGATCCTGTAAGTATGTTATTCTTCCTATTGATATTTTCTCTTATTGTGCTAAATTTAGCTGGCTCCTTTGAGTCTACAGCTAAGTATTTCTTGTTCATCTAATCTTAAATTTTTATTTATATGAATTTTCTGAATGTATGGCATTAATTGTATTAAATTGAAAAAGAAAACTGCCCCTTAAAGGTGAGGGTCCTCACAGTTTAGTGGGAGTAACACTAGCCTGGAGTTAGGAGGCTGGGCACACTTTCTGAGTTAATTTGAGCAAGTCACTTTCCTTTATAAAATCAGATTTGGACTAGGTAATCTCTGTAAGGTTCTTTTTGTCTGGAAAGTTCTGATTGCATAAATTGAGTGGGGGTAGGGTTGTGATGTTGTATTGATGTATGGAGCCTTGGACTTCTTTTGGCTGTGATTTTTGTCTTTGTGCTTTGGAATTATTTGGAGTATAACTGTATTATAAAGGGAGGGGAGGGAGAAAATAAGCATTAAGTGTCTGTTTTGTACCAGGCACTCTGCTAAGGGCTTTAGAAGTGTTGTGAGGATCTCATTTAGTCAAATGAGATCCTCACAACAACCCAACAACTATTATTTTCTCCATTTTTTTTTACAGTTGAGGAAACTGAGACAAACAGAGGTTAAGTGACTTGCACAGGGTTGCACAGCTAGTAAGTGTCTGAGGCTGGACTTGAGCCCAGGTCTTTCTCACTCCAGGCCCAGTGCTCTATCCACTGTGTCACCTAGCTGTCTCTATAAACACATCTTCCAAGAGATGGAAGAACTTACACAGAACCATCCTTTCTGAAGTGCTTAAATTGTGTGCAGTTTATATGATGCTAAGAGGAGAGATGAGCTAAATTGTAACAGTTCTTCGTATTTTTCTTTTTGTTGTGTCATCAAGTAGCATTTACCTTTCAACATCCTTCTTTACTCAAACTTTCAGGTTCATTCTAGGCTATCCTTCACAAATCTCCAAAACACAAAAGATCAGAGAGCTTCAGGAAAAGTGAACCTTTCTCCATTGGATTTAAACATTTTTCTTTATCTGTTAGTATACTACAGAGAGGCTTTGTAGTGTTCAATAGAGTGGATTTCATTTGTGCTCTGAGATCTGCGATGGCATGACCTACCCAAGTTCTGGACTTGTTATAGCCTTCTTCATCTGCTACCAAATCCCACCCCTGAAGTTGGTGTACTGGCTGTGGTTCTGGTAGCAGGCACTTGATAATATTTAGTCCCTAGCATTTTGGCTAAGGACAGAGAGTGAGTTAAGTTTGAGTCAGTGATGGAGCAGTGTATTAAAATCACTCTTATCTAAAGATCACCAGGAACCTCATTTGAATGAAAAGGGTCACTAGGCATCTGAAACAGTCCATGTACTATTGCTTGCGGTTCTTTCCATAACAGAAGCCCTTGGAACCTGTTGGTGTTATTTTAAATGTATCATTATTAATGAACCTTGATTGAGCACCCCTCATCTTCATAGGTCATTGTGTCAGTCATTGGGGTATGCAAAGAGTTAAAAAACATAGGCTCTTTCTCTTAGGACCTAGTATTTTAGTTGGTTAGATAGGCTGTATGCCTCAGTACAGGTTAGTAAATAAGTCCTAGGAGTTATTTGGGGTATATCAAGGTTCAGTGATCTCTCTGGGTTTGCAAAGCTGGCTAGCATTGGAGGTGAGATTTAAAGCCCTGGTTTTCTTTGCTCCAAGCCTAGCACTCCTTCCTGGTGCATTCTCTATGCATAAGAAGATGAGTACTGTTTCTTTTTTGGGGGAGGGGGGGTGAGGCAGTTGGGGTTAAGTGAATTGCCCAGGGTCACACAGCTAGTGTCAAGTGTCTGAAGCTGGATTTGAACTCAGGTCCTCCTGACTCCAAGGCCAGAGCTCTATCCACTGCGCTACCTAGCTGCCCTGAAGATGAGTACTGTTACAGGGAGCTCTTGCTAAGTGCCACATGAGTGCTGCACCCAAGTGAGATGCTTCAGCTCATTCAGAACCAGCAGAGTTCGTGTGGTCGTGCTTCTTAGAGCCTTAATTTCCCCATCTGGAAAACAGGGACAACTTAGAAGGGTTGTTGTGAGGAAAGTACTTTGTAGACCTTTAAGATGCCATATATATTTATATATAACATATTTATATGTTGTCTTTAGTTATAACCAGCTTGGTTACTTGGTTTCCCAGCCTACAACAGGTTAGAAGTAATAAATTGATAGTTAGGAAAATTTATAACAAAAATAAAAGACTCAGACAACAACAGAAGTATATCTGTCTAGGGATTATTCAATATAGTGGAGAGTCAGTAAACATTTATTAAGGCCCTGTTTTGTGCCAGGCACTGTGCTAAGCACTGGGAATACAAATGTGAAAAAAAGGTAATCTTTTCCCTCATGGAGCTTACAGCCTAATGGGGGAAAACTATACACAGAAGGCCAAAAAGCAGGGAAGGTGCCTGATATGGGAGCAGGAGGGAGCAGTCTAAGAAATCCTCAAGTACTGCAGCTGGGGTGCAGAAAAAAAGAGATGTCTGAGCTGAGCTCCCTCCTTTAGTGCGGGGTTTGAAGGTCGTGGCTCCCCTTTCAGCCAGATGGACAAAGGGTGGGGACAGGAAGAGTCCCAAGGCTGATGGGACTTATAACTGAGTGGCTCCTGAGACCTCCCTGCATTGTGGTACAGAATCAGGGAACCAGTGTCACAATGAGAATCTCTAATGTTTCTAAGGCATGTTAAAGTTTGCAAAGTGCTTCACATAAAGTACTTCATTTAGTCATCACAACAAACCTGCAAGATAGGGGCTATTATTATTCCTGTTTGACAGCAAAGGAAACTGAGGCTGAGAGCACACTCAAAGACCAGTGCACTTGACATTGCCCCCAGCTGCCCCTTAATATGATGATGACCCTGTGTGATGAAGAAAAGTGCAACATGTTTGATATACTCTGTTGAAGAAGGCCAAAAAGAATCCATCTGTTTGAAGTCAGAATGGCCGGGCGCTTAATCTTGCCTCTGACACGTGGCTGTTTGACCATACAAGTCACTTCATTCTCTGAGCCTCCTTTTTCCTGACTGTAGGACAGATATTCAAGCCTCCATAATAGGAGAGTTTTCATGAGGGGCCTAAATAAGATCACATATGTAAAAGTGCTAGATTAATGTGAGTAGTTATTGTCTAAAAGATTCAATCTTTGCTACTTATGCTGGGTCAGTGATATGTTCCTGAAGTTTAGGGAGGGGGGCGTTATTTCTGAACCTATTAGGGTATGTTTCTGTCTCTGGGACATAATATATGAAGTTAGACATGTAAGCATCTGATGGTCAGGGTTATTGTTTCAATAGCCTGCTTGAGGTGATTGTGCTTGGTTAGGAAGTTTATCCCAACTCATTTGTACCTTTGGGGACCCAAAACATTGCTAAAGGTGTGCAGAAAACTAAGCTATGTTTCTCGAAGTAGCTAGAATCATGCTGTGGTAGAGCTGTATCTTTGAGCATTTCATTCCTAGGACTTAGCATTCTGCCTGAGGCAAAAATAAATAAATAAAATTGAATCCTTGAAGAAATTGGGGAAAAAATTCTTTTCTAGTACTTTAGTACTTCAAGCACAAGATTACCATGTGTTTCCAAATGATTTGGTGATTAAGCTTAGTTGCTTCCCTGGGAGATGAATATAGTTAAGGGTACCTTTAGTCAGGAGGCAGCTAGGTTGCTCAGTGGATAGAGTGCTGGGCCTGAAATCAGGAAGACCAGAGTTCAAATTTGACGTCAGACACTTACTAGCTGTATGACCCTGGGCAAGTCACTCAACCTCCGTTTGCGTTAATCTACTGGAGAAGGAAATGGCAAACCACTCCAATATCTTTGCCAAGAAAACCCCACGGACAGTATGGGCATGCTGTAATGAAGAATTGGGGTAATGAAGAATTGGACACAACTGCGTAAACAACAGTGCCTTTAATAAACACACATATAAATAAATTTGTGATTTTTTTTTAGTATGTATGTATGTCAGTTTCAGAAATATTCATTTTTTTCCTGTACTAAACTGCATTCTAGTTGCAAAAGTGAAGGTGTTTGGTGACACTTGGAAATCTTGGTTCACTCAGTCCCTTTTATAAAACTCTGGTTATTCACACCAATTTCTTGTGTGGTTATATGCAAAATGATTAGAAGTTATAAAATAATATACCTTATAAAATAATATACCCTCAATTGATACAAACATTTAGTAGATACCAGTTCTGTGATAGGTGCTAGCAAAGAACTGGATTGGTTTAGACGAAGTTAATTGAAATTTGCTAAATCATAGACCCAATTATTTTGGTCAGCTATAGTGAAAAGTATGACCTTGGTCAAAACATTTAACTTCTCTGTGTCTTAACTTCCTCACCTGCACAACAAAGGGATTTGACTGGATGGTCTCCAAGATATCTCCGTCTCCTCTGATCATATCTATCTATGCTCCTCTGATAATACCTGGTCGTAAGGATTGATAATAGTGATGTCATAATTGATCAGAATATGTTTTGGAAATATACCTTCCCACTAGATTTAACATGCTGACTGTTTATATATTCTCTTCCTGCCTGTTTTCATCCTTTACAACTTTCCTATCGCTGTCCTTAACATCACCATATTCTTGGTATACCAGATTGATGAATTCTTCCAATTGTCCCACTTCGAAGTATTTCAGATTTGCCCCTTCCTATTCACTTCCAAAGCTGCCAGTTTAATCTATACTTTCATCATCTGGAGTTTGCACCATAGACATTATTATTCAACAAAGTCATTTTTTTGACAAATATTTGCAGAGAACCTTCTCTCTGTGGGATATTCTTTGGGATACATACAGAGTCAGAGTTCCAGGCCGTAGGCAGCATATAATCTTACTGATTCTCACTAATTGGATCTCTTTAACTCTTTGAGATCCCTCCTTGAAAATCAGCCTCAAATAGTTTTTTAATCATATCATACCACTCCCTCACTTCAAGAAATAAATGTTTTAGTACTTTAGTATATCTGTAATTTAATCAGCTTAGGGAGATTTTTCCCTCCATCAGTGTGGATTACAGCTCATTCATGCCATCTGACCTTCTGTGATTTTTGTAAATGTTCACACTAGTAAATTCTCCTCAGAGGACCCATCCAATATGCTAGACTTTTTCCCTGAATTCTTTTTACATTTTGGTAGTCCCAGTATAGCATTTGGGCTCTTTAACTGATTCCTTTCTTGGACACAAGATGCCCTCAAATTATGGTTGCTTTATTCATGAGCTGGTCCTGATGACTGCCTCTTGTATTCCACCTAAACTCAATTTAGGATTCTGACCTTTTCTACTTTTGCCTCTTAATAGTGCTCCCTTCTGACTTCAGATCCAGTACTTTTTCTACTGTATCACACTAAAAGAGTGTTGTTGTTTTTTTAATTTTGGGTGGGAAGTTTTGTTTTTTTTTTGAGCCTTTTTTCTTCTCTTTGGGGTTTTTTCATGTGTATTCTGTTTGTTGAGGGCACAGAAGAACCTTATTGCTTTCGAGCCTTTTAGTCCAACATCTTCAGTCAATTTCTTGAGATAAATTTGTATTATTAGTAAAAAAAAAAAAAAAAAGAAAGAAAAAAAAGAAAAAAATTTAAAAAAGACAAAGTCATTTAAAGTGGAGGGTGCAGCATGAGCAAAGACATGGTAGAAACAAGCAAAGTGTCTATGGGATACAGCAAAAAAGATTTGGTAACTAGGACAAAGGTAAATTGATTTGGGAACATTTGAGTGTTCTCCAAGGTAGATTGAGTGAGACAGGTATATAGATTTTAGAATGTAAGCTAAAATAATTTAAGGCAAATGTTCACAACTGTTCTCATTTGTACTTGGTACTAAACTATATATGAACAATACTTATCAGTTAATTTTCATTCAAATGGGCTGGGGAGTTGGGAGGAGTTTATTATTTCTAATGTTAAACTGCTGTCAAGTTGAAATACTTTAAGGTATTCCTGGCTCTTGGTTAAGCCTAGAAAACAATTGAGGTTATTTATTTGGCTTGAGAAGAGTTTGAGATCAGGTAAATGTCATGGGACTTCTTCACAGAAATCTTTGGATGGTGTCCTTTTGTGGAAGTGGCAGAGACTGTGTTCATGTAGAATACCTGTTCAGAAGCAAGCGCACTGGTGGAGACACATTTCTGATGGTTCTTCTCTGACTTCTCACCCTGTAGGGGGCGGTACCCAAAGGCAATGCTACTAAAGAGTACATGGAGAGTCTGCAGCTAAAGCCTGGTGAGGTGATCTACAAGTGTCCCAAATGTTGCTGTGTCAAGCCCGAGCGTGCACACCACTGCAGGTAGAAGCTCCTGGGGGCTTGTGGGGTGTTAAACAGCAGCCTTGGCACTGACGTGTAAAAAATGTGAACTCAAACTCCAATTAGGCTGCCAGAGCACTCTCTAGAAGAGACTGTTTCTTTGAGAGAGACCTAGTAGACAAAGACTCAAAGGCAGTGCCATTTAGATTTTTAGTCAAGAGTATATTAGTTTACTCAGAAATAGTTGATAAATTTTAGTGTTGAAATTTCATAATATGTTCATCAGATAAAACTAATAACTAAAGTGATATTAAAGTCATTTACATAGATCACACTGAGCTTTCTGTGTTCATGGAGGAAAGTAGTGGCTCAGATCATCCCCATAGTTTGGCTTTGCAGTACCAAGTTATGAGGACATCAGTGGGGTAGTCAGCAGATTCTGTGAAAGCAGTTGGAGCAGACTGGCAGTTAACTGCAGGTATTCATGGCTAATGTTAAGCTGCTTAAAGTACTTGGATATTGATGGTCTGGGCACCAAGGGAGGTGGTGAGCAGGGCTAGTCAGCTAGAATGCTTGATTTGTATTGAGGAGATCTGAGTTTCAATTCTGCCTTACTGGCTGTGTGCCCTGGAGCAAGTCATTTTACCTTTGAGCTTCAGTTTCTTTATCTGTGCAATGTGGTAAATAAAGCTAATTCTTTTTTTCTTTTTTCTTTTCTTTTTTTTTTTTTTGGCTAGGCAGTGGAGTTAAGTGACTTGCCCACGGTCACACAGCTAGTAAGTGTTATGTGTCTGAGGCTGGATTTGAACTCAGGTCCTCCTGAATCCAGGGCCGGTGCTCTATGCACTGCGCTACCTAGCTGTTCTAATAAAGCTAATTCTGAGCCACTTTAAAGGGTTGTTGTAAAGAAAGTGCTTTATTGACCATATTGACCAAGCTTTTAAGAATATGAGATGATAGCGTCTAGACTTTGGGCAAATCACTTTTGCTCCTGGGTCTCAGTTTCTTCATTTGTAATAGGAAGAGGCTGAACTATATAATTTCTAACCTCTGTCCTATGGACACTTTATCATTATTATTGTATGCTGCATGCTCTTAGGAAGGTTGATCATCCATGCACACCCGGTCCCGTCACTCAACTGAAAACTGCTGTCTCTGAAGTCACCGATGGTGTCTCAGTGCAAAATCCAGTGGCTTCTTCTTAATCTTCACCCTTCTGACTTCTGGAGGATTTCACACCATCAGCCACCCTCTTCTCCTGGATACTTTCCTCTCCGGCTTTTATATCATTGCTTTCTCTCGGTTCCCTCCTTTCTCTCTGGCTGCTCCTTTTCAGTCTCCTTTGCTGGGTGAATGGTCAGGGCTGGTCGCCTGACTTTAGCTCTCCTCCCAGGCCTCGTGTGGGCCCCCTTCTCTTTCTGCCCTTTTGATGACAGTGTCAGGTATCAGGGGTTCAGTTATCATCCATCTCTATGTAGATGGCTCTAAGATGGGTTATTTAGCCTTCCTCTCTCTTCTTCCCATGCTGCCAATTGTCATGTTACAAGTCCAAAACGCCCCCACCACTCAGTTCTCTTTCTGACTTTGATATTTCTTTCCAGAGCACCACCGCTCTTTCAGTCTGCCAAGTTCTTCACTTCGGTGTTCTCTCCATCTCCCACTTCCTCGGTCCTCTGTCAGATCGCTTGCAGTGCTGAGACCCTTCTGCTGCCACTTCTTGCATCCAACCCCTTCTGCCCACTAATAGCACCACTACCCTGTACCTCTCCTCTGAATATCAATAGCATGGGAGCCTTTTCATTGGTTTCTCTTCCTTCTTCAATCCGTCCTCCACCCAGCTGTCAAATGATAATTGTAGCACAGATCTGGTTCCATTCATCTTGCTCAGCCAGCTGCAGTGGTTCCTTGTCACTGCTTTGATCAGTACCACATTTCTGTTTTGCATTTTTACAGTCTGGCCCCAACCTTTGCAGACATAGGGACCCTTACTCCCTTTCACAGAGGTTATGAAAGTGAGTGTTCTGTTGGCTTTCTTGTTGCTTTTGCAGGATATCCTATCTACTGTCTCGGTTCCTTTGCCTAAGCTGCTCTCTTCTGTATTCCCTTCTCACATGGCTTAGAACACCCTGGCTTTGGGGCAACTCCGGCCTTGGAGTCAGGAGGACCCGAGTTTAGATCCGGCCTCAGAGTAGCTGTATGACCCTGGGCAAGTCTCTTAACCTCAAAAAAGAATACCCTGGCTTCTTTCAAAGAGTAGTTCAAGTATGCTCCCACACAAGGCTTTTCCTGCTAGTCTGGTCTGTTATTGTCCCTCAAGTTAATCATTAGTCAGTTGATTGTTAGAGCTATTAAAATGAGGCATTTAATGCAAAAACTTCTGTGTGTTTGGATGGTATGATTTGGTATTTAATGTGTGGTTAGCAATACTTAGCATTTATCCTTCTTTGTATTTATAAGTTGCTTTTATTATGTTAATATATTTAAAACTGAGAGGCCTGGAAATGAATATTAGCCCAATAATAATAATAATAATAATGAGGCATCCTTATTTAGCATTGTAAGGTTTGCATAATTTTTTCCCTCACAACTCTCCTATAAGGTGAGCAGTGTTAGTATTATTGTGCTTATTATACAGTTGAAGAAACTGAGACTTCAGAGAGGTCAAGGATGAGAACCAGGATTCACACCAGGTCCCCCTTGACTCCCGGCCCACTGTTGTTGTCATTACACATTGCTAGATGGCTTTCTGAATTCCAACTGGAAATTTGGAAAAATATTGGAATTGTGGCTGTGTTTTATTTTTTAGCAGTGAACCTATCAGCATATTCTCAGTAATGTGATTCCATTGTATCCTTAGCATTTTTTCAGATATCTGTAGTACTTAGAAAGTAGTCTACTACAAAAATAATTTGTGTTCACTCAAAATATTTGTATAGACTTTTAAAGCAATGATTTCTAGCCTTTTCAACCACAGCAATCCTATTGTAATGTCAAAAATTTCAGACACCCCTGGTTAATAGTTGTATTGTTGGTAGTTGTTTCCTGAAAAAATAGCTGGTTAGAAGGCTACTATGAATTCATTAATGTGTTTCATTAATAGCAATAATATATTTTATTAATAACAGCATATGACATAAGTGTGAGACCTTTTGAGATCTGAGATTTGTTTAGTCAGCATCAGAATAACAATACTTGGTACACATATAGATTCACAGGCCTTTTCTGGGAATCCCAGAGCCCATGGGTTGCAAGCCATTGCTTTGAAGAGATGTAACTATAAATATGTATGGATTGTTTTTTACGTGGGTGCAGTAAGGCAGGCAATCCTGAACTTGGATATAGAAACAGCCACTTTGAAATGACTGCTCCGGCTGTATTATTCCAGGGACTCTCTTCTTGCTGTTGCATCTGCTGCTGCCTAGAATCTCCCCTCCCCCTTGAACTCCAGTTCCTAAACCTAGACAGAGCAGGTTCTTCCACAACTGGTTGGGGCAGTGGGTTGAACGAGGTACATTCTCATTAGCCTCTCCTCCCTATCCCCCATCAGTACCCACTGTGGCCAGTGTTGTCCTTTCTTCCGGTTTCTGTTAGTGAGTTTTCTTTTGATAGGTATATGAATCTTCAGTTCTTTTTGTGCCCAGAGAGGCTCTCTGCTTTAAGTAGAAACAACAATCCTCCTTGGAGTCAGCAGACTTAGATTTTTAAGTTTAGGTCCAGGCTACTGTGTGACTCTGGGCCAGAGTCCCTCTTTCAGCCTTCATTTCCTCAGCACAAAAAATGGGGATGAAAATATTGGTACTGCTTTACCTCTCAAGGTTGTTGTGAGCAAATCACCTTACAAAAGTCCTCTGTCTTTGTCAGCTTTTAAAAGACTCAGCATAATTATCTGTGGGCACCTTTGTCTTTCCTCCCTAGTCTATAAGTGAAAAGGGAAGGTGAGGAGCCTAGGGTAAAAGCTTTGTTTTCCAGTTGTGGCTAGGAAGACTAGAAGATGCCCAAAGGGAGAAGGGCTTGCTACAAATAGGAAGGTAGGAAAGAAATGTTGAGACTTATTCTAGGCTACCGTGGTTACCAGGGGAGAAAGAAATCTTAGTTAGAAACAAAGTGACCACTCAAGGAGCTGATTTTTGGAGTCCTCTGAAGAAAAAGACTAGCTCCCAGCAGAATGCTGTCCTGTCAGGTTCGATTGTTTGGAGACCCTGACTTCCCATGGCTCTGCACCTCAGACCCTGCCTCTCCTCTCAGAAGCAGTGCAGGACATGACTAAGTCTGGTGGAGCAGCTACATCAGTGGAAATCTTCTTGTTGCTGCCTGAAGTTAGGACATGCATGTTTCAGAAACATTGTTTTAAAATGGTGTGATTAGATTCTTATTACTTTAGGCCTGTGGCCTGGTCTGGGAACCTGGTACTATGGGAAACATTGTTTCTTTATGCTCTGAAGTTTTTGAAACCCAACCTGTTTTATAAATTGGAGACTTAATGTAATTGTTGGTATTTCGATTTAATTTCCTTTCTCCTTATTTTCTCTGCCCTTTTGTTTTAGTTATGTTATTCTGATAGTCTTCTATGTTAGAGTATTAAAAATTAAAAAAAAAAAACTTCCTTTTTCCAGTATTTGTAAACGATGTATTCGGAAGATGGATCACCACTGCCCATGGGTGAACAATTGTGTGGGAGAAAAAAATCAGAGGTTTTTTGTGCTCTTTACCGTGAGTAAAAATTAATTTTTAGTGGTTTATGGTGATTGTCAAACTCTGTTGACTTTTTTTTATCATTTGCTTTTGGCAGGCACATTTCTCCTAGGATTGAGCCAGTTTCTCCCTAGCTCTCCTTCCCAGTGAGGCACCAGTTGTAGCAATTGTGTGGCTGCTAGTTATTTGCTGCATGTATTCTCTCTGGGCCTGGGCCGAAATTGTCTCTCTCATCATAGATCAGAAATGCTTACCTTCTGCTGCTCCCCACAGAAGAATTTTTCCAGTGTGGCCTTAGGGTGCTAATAAATGTTACACTATTTAATTTCAAGGATTTAAATTATTTTTTAAACTTTTTTCACTGTGTGCTTAGTGAATTGATTTTACTTGACAGTTGGAACTGAATAGAAAGAAAACTATCGTCCGTCAGCCTTTTCTGTTCACAATGGATCACAGCCTTACAGTTCCCTCCTACTTTTTCTCTTATCCAGATGTATATAGCCCTGTCTTCAGCTCATGCTCTGATCCTGTGTGGATTTCAGTTTTTTTCCTGTGTCCGAGGGCAGTGGACTGGTAAGCACATACTTGGGTGTATAAAAATTGTTTGTAGAAATACAGAAATAGCATTACCATATTATTGCATGTGCAAAGAAACAAAATATTACACTCAGTGGCAAACACTTTAAAGAAAAAATACTCTTAGGTTTTGGGAGAACATCTTTTGTTGTCACTTTGGATGCTTTTCTAGGATAAGATTGTCTTTACATCATAACACCAAGGCTTTGTATCTTTAGTACCCCAATGAAGCCATATAATCAACTTTCCCTTATAATCATATACATATTTGGCTCTTTGGGGGATTATAAGCTTGTCACAGATACTGTGTCTAGATAGAAGTTAGTATTATTTTCTGCACCTATTAGAGTATTATTCCTACAAAAAATGTCTCCCTTCTTAGTCAATTTGTTAAGAAAATATTTTTTTTAATACTCTTTATAGTGTGGACATGAAGGCCTGTCCTACTTCAGTAAAATTTATTTTTCCTCACCCTCTTCCTCTTCTTTAGCCACATACTTTTTATTTTAGCATGTGAATGTGTGAGAGCATGTGTGCAGTGTGAGTGTGACTAGTGAGAGCATGAGCCTAATCTTGTTAACGTGGTTAGAGACTTGTGTTCCCTCAGGCCCACTTACCTTGGCTTTGTCATAGCTACACACTGCACCTCTCACTGTTCTTAGGCAGTTCTCTAGTACATTGGTTACAAAGGGTCTGGTCAGTGCAAATTTGTGATCACTGCTGAAAAAAAAACAAACCCTCAAAAACATTTATCTAGTAATGTGTATGTATTCAGTGTGAATCCCCATTTGTTGAAGCTGAGTGTTGTCATTAGATGCCAATAATTACTGCTTCAAAAAGACTGGCTCTGATTGAAGATAGAATGTCAGATGTCTTACTGACTTGATTCAGGGACATGTATAGCATCATTGATTAGGATGGCCTTGCAAATGAGTGCAAAACATTACCAGCACACACTGGTTCTTTTTTTTTTTTAAACCAAATTACCTTCACTAATAGGAAAAATAACAAAATAAATAAGATAATCATTTCTTTTACATTTCTTTTACCCATTGTAGACATTTTTGTTTCTTTTTAAGAGCAAGAGACTTGGGAAATTCATTTCTCTTCTTTGGGATAAGACTTAACACTAAACCATTTTTACAAAGACGGCTGTGTTGTCTTTGCTGAAAATTTCAAGAGAAAGACATTTAGTTTTTCTTAAAGCCTACCCTAAGCATTTACTGTAGAGAAGGGAGAAATTTTTTGACACAGTAGGTAAGGCTCATATCTGTTAGAAGAGAGCACTAAGAGAACAATCAGAAAATCATTTATATTTGACTTGACTTTGATATCCTGGAAATTTATAACACTTTTAAAAAAAGCTCAACAAAGGAAGAACTGGAAAATAGTCCATTTTTCCTGTCTTATCCCCCTCCTCCCTCAGCTCTGTGTGGAGATTCATGGTATTAATCTCTCAGACTTGTGTTAGAAATGCCAGAGTGAGCAGCGCTCCCTTCCCTGTGTCAGCTCACTATGTGTCTGGTTTAGTGCTTCCCTGGGTGAGTTAAGGGGTTAGGGTTGGTAATTCTGATTTTGTTTAAAAATTCATTTTTAATTCATTTAGTTCGTTTTTGTTTAAAAATTCATCCTGGTGGATGAATCAGGGTGGGAAGAGGAGAGACACCTCCAAGTTACTGAACTGAAATGCTGTCCAAGGATGCAGTGGTCTCCTCCACTCTCTCAAACCTTTCCTTCGGGCTTCTGCTGAATTGCAGTTAGTCAACAGAGGAGATGAGAGCTAACTGTAGGTAGAGGTGAAAAATGCAGCGGGGGGCATCAGAAACAATACTCCTAGGATGGAACCATGAGAAAGTTCTGAATGTGCAGACACTTCTTTAATATGAGAAGAAACAGAAAAGAATTGGACTTTTATTTTGCCAGTTTTCTAATTTAGAGCCCAAGTGTGGAAGAAACTAATGTCCAGTCTTTCATTTAAGCTGAATGAGATTGAGAAGTAAAAAGATTAATTTGTTCAATACACAAAATTAAGCATATATCATGTATGTCGATAGTTTTGTATATAATATGAAAAATCATTCTTTGTTTAAAAGGACTAGGCTTATAAGGAAAAATAACTTTATTTTAATTAACTCGAATAGTTTAGGGTGTGAGCCAACATATGCATGTTTGTTTAGAGTGGCATCTAACCCAATAATTTTCTTGGTAGCCCAATAAGGACTACCTTGAATTAATTACCACTTGAATTTATGATTGCCTGATTGTGATATGCCATTTTCTCCATTTTTGAGGCTAACAATGATGTTGTAGTTCACAAGTGGTGATGTGCCCAACTCCAAATGGGTTTGTAGTATTTGTAATGTGCCAAAAGAAAGAGAAGCATGTTATCATGGTTATTTCTCTTTGTGAATGAGACGGGCCGGCTTTGCTCAAGTATAAAGATCGTTTAGTATCAGCAACTTCACTGTGGAAAGTGCAAGTTGCATACTTTTTGTACTTTCTCAGAGGGTAAATTACTTTATTTTTAAATTTCCTACACAGTTTAAAAAATAATGTAATTTCTATTATAGTATAAAACAAACAAAAAAATCCCAGCTTATTTTTTTTTTTAAACAATTCACAAAAACCGAGTAGCTCCCATCTAATCAGACAGTGAAACCATTGACTGGGAAACAGAATTGTCAGGCGTTCTTTGTACTGGCATAGGGCTGAGCTATCCCGGCCCCAAAGACATCCAAACAGAAAACCTTGTTTCTCTGAGTGGCCCTGGTTGGTGCCTTTGTCTGCAGTCGGGTTTGCCTTTTTGCTAGATGGATGCAGTCCTTTCTGTACTATCAGGAGTACAGGGTTTCTGGAGGTGAACTTTTTGTTCACAGTGACACAATTTGAGGATATGCTCTCTGTTCTAATGAATGATTCTCTTGACCTCTTTCACAGAATGCAGTGATTTTTCTCCACCTGTAACTGTAATCCTGCTGATCTTCTTGTGCCTTGAGGGTCTTCTCTTTCTCACTTTCACCGCAGTCATGTTTGGCACTCAGATCCACTCAATATGCAACGACGAAACGGTAGGGTCGGAGTTGTGGTTTTTGTGCTGTTCTCTGAGATGGAGGTTTTAGGCATCTTCTGACCATTGGATCATATATCAGAGCAGGAAGGGTCCTCCAAGAGAAGTTAGTCCAGCCTACTCTTTTTGTAAATGAGAAAGTTGAGGCCCAGAGTGCTTAAATGACTGCCCAGTCTTAGATAGAAAACAAATATCAGAGGGAGGATTTGAACCCTTAACAGACTCCAGAGCTAGTGTGCTTTCTTAAATTAATTTAAAAAAAAAATTCTGAACTTAAAATATTCCAAACAAAGTGAGCATTTCCTCATTTATAATAGACCAGAAAAAAGATTCTATGTGAAACTGTAAAGCTCTGTTACATATAGGTTATTTTTCCTGTTAAGCATATAATAAATTCAATATGTAACTTTCAAAGCGGTCCTGCTTGACTTTGTTTACTTCATTTTTCTCCTGTATATTTTAAAAAATGCTTCCATAACTCTGTTTTTTCTTTTTGGGGGACATATCTATCAGTAGTCCCCATCCTTCCATCTTTTCTTCCCCCTTCTTCCCTCTTTCACTACCCCCACCTCACCTTCCTCCTACCTCACCCCCTCAGCTGAGAAGGAAAAAAAAAAGAAAAATATAATACTTTCAACAAATTTCCATAAGCTAGTAAAACAAATTCCCATATTGGCTAAGTCCAAAAATTTCTGTCTCATTCTGTGCATTGAGTCTGTTACGTTTCTGTCAGGAGGTGGGTAGCAAGGTCTCTGGTTGGTCATTGGATTCATCAGAGTTCTTATGTATTTCATTTTTTTTTTTTAACTTATTGTCTTAAGTTGTTCTCACTTTATTCTGTATCTGTTCATGTAAGTCTGCTCCAGGTTTCTCTAAAACCGACCCTTTTGTAATTTAAAGTGGTTGCAGCATTATTCCATTACATTCATGTACTGTAATTGTTCAGCTGTTCCCCAATTGTTCTCTAAGTCATGGTACTACTTCTTCAGGTACCTCTACCCAGAACATCCCTAACCTGGTAGTTTTTCCTTTCTTTTGCTGTGTTATTTATAGGTTTTCCTTTCCCATTCTTCTCACTATATCTTATCCTTACAATTTTCAGCTTAACTATTCATAAGTCCTTTCAGAATATCCCTGTGGAGCAACATGGGAGGAAGCTTTGGGGATGAGAAATCCAAGGGACCAAGACTGGGTATTTTATTGTCCTCTGTTTTCTCTCTATTTACTGCAAACATATGCCAGGTTGGAGAAGTTGTAGCAATTTCTGAATGTGGCAGCAGCCTCCATAATTTAGATTTTCCTACAAAGTCAGAATCTATATTCACTTCCTTTTCAAGTCTGGCCTTTTCAGCTTTGAGTTACTTATTTTCTCTCCTCAACATTTTTTTGTCAGCCACAAGAAACTCTATAGTGCTTCTCATCAGCAATCAGAGTTACCTGCTTTTCTATTATTGTTTTATTTTTCTTTGGTGCTTGTCTTCTAATACATGGTTCAGTTGACTCTTTCCTTTTCTGAAGGAGAAAAAGTAGTTTGTCTGAGTCTCTGTTAAAGTTACAGGTGTTTTTCTCTGTGCCAGAACCAGGCATGCTTTAGCCATCTTCTGCATACAGTTCACACAACGTTAGCAAATGAGGAATTCCACTGGAGTCTGCTGGACTTTCAGTGTTTTGTTTTGTTTTTTTCACTTTGCCCTTTTCCTTCTCTCCTTGATAAGCAGTAGCTTCTAGGGAACCTTGGGATCTATAGGGAACCCCTCTTCAGGTTGGACTCTGTTCCCAGATGACCTCTGTGATAGTGGTAAACACTTTTGGCAAATATACATCTTCTTGTTTCCACCTTGCCTGCTATTAATGATCCTGAGAGTGGTCAAACAAGGTTATTTCTGTTGTCATATTTTTTAAGGAATCAAGAATAATTTTTCATAGTTGCATGGGAAATACTTTGTTGGATGAGAGCCTTTAGGTAGAATGTCAAATACTTTTTTTATAATCAATTGACAGTAAGCACAGAATGAATTGGTATTCTCCACATCTTTCAATCAATTGTGTACTGATAAAGATGTGGCTACTGTGGAACATCACTTGCAAAAGACTTTCTGTTCCTTACTAACGCTCTTATAAATGGGCCCTCCAATGTGTGTGTAATGTAAACATTTTATGTAACTTAGTATGACTCAGATAACAGAACATGTTTAATATTGTTGGTGGGAACCATCAGATGAGAATTGAAGCCTAAGTTTCTTTAAATAGCCCTCCATTAGCAGAGCAGAGATGCTACCTTTACTCCAAAGCTCTTTCTCTCTCTCAGAAGATGGCTTTTTGGAGACAGGGCACTATTGAGTGTGTTAACAGTGAAGTTACTCAGAACAGAAAGAAAGTCCAGTCCCAAAAGGTGTTTTTGTTTTATCATTCCATTAAACTTTCTTTTAAATAAAGGGACCTGACTGTATGCTGTTTTTTAGTACCTACTGGGGAGAACTGAACTGATTAACTTTCCCCTAAATCTCTCACTCTACACTTTGCTATTTCTCTTGGAGGCCATGCAAGCCTTCCATTGTCTCAGGTGCATAATATTGGCAGTATCCTCAACTCTTCACTCTCCCTATCCCCACCCATCCTTTCCATTGTCAGATCTTTTGCTTTCAACCATCACAGTATTTCTTACACCTGCCACATTCTCTTGAATTGCACAACTACCACCTCAGGTGGGGTTCCCACCACCCCTTCCCTAGGTTATTGTGATAACTCCCTGCTTGGTCTCCCTGCCTTGAGTCTCTTACCTCTCTAGTCTGCTCTACAGAATGCTACTAAAATAATTTCCTTCAGTGTAGATATGACCATGCAATTGCCCTAGTTGGTCAACTTCAGCGACTTCCTAGTGCTTGTAGAATAAAATATAAACTCTGTTTAGCTTTTAAAACCCTAAACGGCCTGGTTCCAATTTATCTTGATAGGAATTCACTTGACTTGTCTTCTGCTCTACAATTCAGCCAAACTGGCCTCTCTGTTCCTCATGAGTGACACCTGTCTCTTATCTTTGTGCTTTTCTGCTGGCCATTCCCTGTGCTTGGAATGCACTTCCCTCCTACCTTCAGCCTTATTATCCTTCTTTTTTGTAAGATGTAGCTCAGACACCATTTTCTGTATGAAGTCTTTCCTGATAGCCCCAACTGTTTGTGCTTTATTTCCCATAGTACTTAGTAGTACTTCATGTGTGTAGGTATACACATATATATGCTATTAACTTTATATTTACACTATATGTGTGTGTATGCATACACAGACACTTTATATATATATCATATATACACAAAGCACATATATTTATATATTTGTCTCCTTTCTTTAAGCATCCGATATTGAATTAAAAACAAAAATACATAATTTCATTTATTTTAGTAATTGTAAAAAATAAGCACATTTAACTCTTCTCTAAATTTCCATTCAGTGTTAACTGACTATTGTAGAGCAGTAATGTTATTATTTATTTGTTCACAGGAGATTGAAAGACTGAAAAGTGAAAAGCCAACTTGGGAACGGAGGCTCCGATGGGAAGGGATGAAGTCTGTTTTTGGGGGCCAGCCTTCAATTTTATGGATGAATCCTTTTGCAGGATTTCGAATCAGAAGATTCCTACTGAAGTCAAAGAGAGGTGGTCCAGAATTTTCTGTGTGAGGCCCACTTTCCCATACTGGAACTTGCAAATGCACTCTAGGATATTTATTTGGGGTTTGGAAGCCTGTCGACATATACTCTGTGACCAATGGGAACTGTACCAACACAAACCAGTTGCTTGTAGCAAGCAGAATTTTATACATTTATAGTCACGGAGATCACAAATTTTCCAAAATGGTAACTGGATGTTGTAATGAACTTTTCAGCTGTACCACTAATGAAAGGCATGTGGCCACCCTAAAGAAGCCAAATGTCATTATTCTACTGTGAGATTATGATTTTTGTTAAATCTTTTTCATTTGATCAAATGTTGTTTGGGGTATTACATATGATATTTTATTAAAAATCCTGTGTACTGAGCTGCATTTGTCAATCATGGAAAAAAAATCCCCAGTGGACAAGAATTCTCAAGCCAGTAGCATCAGGGAGTTTCTGTTTACCATGTAATTCCATTCCGTTATTGCTTTTCCTGTATCTTAACGCTGTGGGGACCCTTTCATAGAGATACATTTCAGTCTTTCATTTTTATTGTCTCTTATCATTAAGTTGCAAAAGATCTGTGTGCACTGAGCAGCATAGATAAATGTCAGGTACGCTCGTTACTTTTTTACCCCCATTTATCATTGCTTACTTCCTTTTCCTCTCACCTGCCCAGCCCCAGAACAAAGTGTTTTCTTGATCCTAGCAGCAAGTTTAATATATGTAAGTTTTTCCTTTTTTTTTAAATTTAAAATTATTATTTTTAATGGCAAGCTATTTTTAAAAACCTATGTTCAGGGAAGAGAAAAAAGCTGCTATGATATCCTCCTTTGTGACTAACTATGAATGTATTGCCAATTGGACAGTCTACAGATCCAAAGAACAATCAGTTGTCTCCCCTGCCCCTTCCCTTTTTAAGATCTTGTGTGGGTTTAATTATTTTAAAATTTTGAAAGCGGAAAGGAGCTGAAACTGTTTTTTGTTTTTTTTCAGCCAAATTGGCATTATCTAGGCAAATGTTACTCTTGATAAAGAAGAGTCAGGCCTCTTGTCAGAAAACCTTAATCTCTGTGCATCTCAATGCTGCATTGTTAGTCTGAGCAAGGAGGAGATCATATAACCCCACATTGAAGGCAGGCCAGTGTGCATTTCACCACAACTTTAAAGAAGTAATTCGTAGGGTATCAGCTCTTCTTTTTGTGGCTTTGGTGCAGAAGAGAGCAGAGCACACGTTTGTAACTCTCCTAGAAAGAAACAGAAACAAAACTGAACTACCAGAATGCCTAGAGCTAGATGGGGGACTGTCATTAATGCTGTTCTTTGCTCACGCTATAATTGAGGAGAACCAGGTGTGTAGCGGAGAATTATGCCTGAACAGGGAACAGCTCCTTTCAGAGGAGTGGGATGGGATGGGATGGGTGGGGAGGGGGGATATTGCCTTAAACTCACCTGGCTTGTGTATATTTTGTCAGAAGCATCTAGAAGCAATTTATTACATTCTAAGAGGTCTTCCTTATTCAGATTGATCTCCCACACTGAACGTTTTGGTGTTTTCCTTCTGGGCAGGATGCCTTTCTGTTTATCTGTGAAGATCTTCAAAGAACAAATGTATTCTAACCTTATACTAGGATAGATGAAATTTATCAAGAGATCAGCCCAGCACACAAAAGCCAAATGAACAAAGCAATTCATTGGTGAAAAGATCACCACAAAAATGTGTATACGTTGCAGGAAATTGATCAAGAGCAGCCAGAGAAGCAAAAACTTAGATTTGTGGCGTGATGGACAATGGAGGCAAGTTCTAAAAGAATCTTTTTTTTTTCTTTTTGCACATCTGTTGGGAGCATATATTAGGCTTCATCATGAGGCTTTTGAAATGATATAGTCTGTTGGTTGAAAATTATTAAGAGTTTGAATCCTGTGAGACTTAGCAAGTATGTGTGTGAAATCAGGTCTACTTGGCTTTTTCAACCCCTTTCATTGTAATTTTTATATAAAATAAAGCCATTCATTGACATTTCTCAAAGTTGGTAATTAAATGATATCGGGTCTCATTGGATTTAGTCTCTTTCTTTCCTTGGCTCATTGAATTTCTCTTTTGAAGGAAGTCTATGATGTTTACTAACACAGTTTTCAGGCCCTGTGGAATCATTCTAATATCTGAGCTGAATTTACCAAAGAGTATTTATTTACTATTGAAGAGTTCCAATTTCTAGTACATTCAACTCTCTAGAATGTGTTTGTGATCCCAGGACTTATCTGAAGTTGGAGCTACATTCAACCTAGTTCTGTTTAAAATAAGGCAGCAGAATGTAGCTGACAAAAGTCATAGCCAACCAGAGGGAGAATTATTCTTCTGTCTGCTTTCTCCTTCAGCACAACCCTCCGAGGTCATTTAACTTGGGGGCAGATAGCCCATCACACAACGGGCCTGAATTATAGCATGACATCATAATGCTTACAAGCAATCCGAGAAGAGACTTAAATCGTTCTGTTTGTGAGGATGTGTGCATTTTATTTTAGATGAATTTCTGTTAAAAAATGGTTAAAACAAGCATAATTTTCTTTTAGGTGCTCTGAGGAATTGACTTAAATTAGCTGAAAAAAAAATCCCTTGAGGTTTTTCCACCTTATTACCAATGAGGTATTTTCCTTCAATATTAGCAACTTCTTGTCTTGTCCCTCATAATCTGTCTTGACCGCAGTCACATCTACGCCAGATAATTATAGAATCCGTGTAAATATGGTATAACTACATGCAGAAAAATATCCCTAGGGTGTATTTAAAAAACAAAAACAGGGTAGTGGAAATGATGTGTTTCATGATGGTTGGTGGGTGACTATCTATACACCTGTGCATGTTTACTCTTTCCCCTTGTTAGAGAGAATGAAATTTATGCTCAGAGGATTCTTTAGGAGCAAGTCTTCTGGCCTAAACACTTGCTACCTGTTTAGCCTTTGGCAAATCAATTTCCTCCTATGGGCCTCTATTCTCCCTCTGTAAAATGAGGGAATCAAACTGGATGTTCTCCAAAATTCCCTCCAACTCTAAATCTATGATTCTGTGAATTTCTTTAACCTGCCTGTGTTAAGGGGGCAAGAGTCAGGAAAAGACAGTATTTGGAAGGCTACTTCAAAATAAGCCAACTTTTTTTTTTTTACTTACAACAATTCAACTGAAGGGTCAGTTCATACGACAGGACCCTAGAAAAATTCCAGCAAGATTTTATGCTGCATTCTTTTCTCTTAACATCTGTCTTCATTGAAAGCTCTCTGATGTCTTATCTTGGTGTAGAGGTGACTTTGGGTTCTCTAAGGATTATGCCAGTGGGGCATTAGCTGTTGCTGGTCATATCAAACTGGAAAGGCTTTGAGTGAGGCAGGCACCAGAAGGCTGCGCCAAGGCCAGCCTAGCTAAGTGCAGAAGATTGGTGACCGGGTCATAAGCAGTTTTTGACACAGCAGCTCTTGAAATACTATCAAGGTACTGATCTTAGTAGAGAAAGGTCCCACGATGACAAAACCACAATCCTTTGACATACTTAAAAAGTTTTATGGATGATCAAGTGGAGATAAAAGATAATTTAGGTCAGGTGCTTCACAGACCTTACGTGCTATTTAAGTGTGATCCGTTCTTTGCTGAAGGAGAAGCATATAAGCAAGATTTTAATATAGTCTTCCTACCCCCCTTCAAATAGATTGTAAACTCCTTGAGGGCAAAAAGCTTTATTTTTTGCTTATGTATATTCAATGACTGGCTCATAGGTGCTTAATTGCATGCTTGTTGATTAAATTGCCTTCAGTAGCAGTGCATTTATAACAGGATTGATTTTTCAAGCCTAACTAAAAACTCTGGGACCTGTTTGACATAACAGGCATCCCATCTTTGATTGAAGATATAGAATAGTTGTGTATTTATACTAAAATAGACAACAGTAGGTCTTACTTTCTTAGGACTGGCTGAGATAAAAAGGCTTGCCATCAGTTGGCAATATCACCATTTTGCTTAGTAATGCTCTCTTTTATCCCTCGTCCCTCTCTCCAGTTCCTCTAGATAGTTGCCTTCAATTGTCTTAATAACCAGCCGTACGTGACGACTTTAAAGTCTTGTAGGTCACCAACATCCTTACCTATGAGGAACATTGGGCACTAGAATCCAGAAGCAGCTTCCAGTTCACCCTAGCACCTGGCAGTGAGAAGTGCGATGATTCTCTCTACATCAAATGAGAAAATATTTGTAAAGCGCTCAGCATGGTTCCTAGCACATACTAGCCACTTAATAAATGCTTATTTCTTTGCTTCTGGTGATAGCAAATGAAACTAAAGAGCCAGAATCCCGAGCAAAATGTCACATTTGCTAATAGAAAAATCAAACACAAATTTTGTATTGTATAACGGTCTTGTGTTTTATTTGAAAAAAGAAGCCCAGAAATTGTAAAGACAAGCAAATTCAAAAATGATGCCTACAATACCCGTATGTGCAGAGAGCTCTGCAGCTATCTACCTTCTTCCCGAAACTCGGGAAAGAGTCAGTAGTCAGTAAATACTATTTTTGAGAGACTTTTAGGGGAAACAGAAATTAGCTTCGGCATCACACTGGTGAGGAAGGGATCTAGTAAAAATGGAACACTTCTTTAGTTTCACTAATTTTCCTCTTGTATTGCATCTCATTATGTTGATTTGAGTGTTTGGTAAGCAGAGCTGTAACTGACAGAGGGCCACTGGGACCTCCCCTCCGGTGTGCCAGTGCGAGGGGAAGACCTGTGCCCCACACTGCCTTGTACATCCCTGCTCCCCCACATCCAGTATGTGCACACCTTTATTGGTACTAGGCCATCCTGAGAATTCCTTTTGCTGTCACAAACCTCTTCTGGGGTCTACCCTCTGCTCCCTCACCAGTATGACTACAATTGGGGAGAATTACCTGTACCATCACACTAGATTTGGGGACCTGTAGGGTCTGGGGTCAGTGAAATTGGTGTGTGCCCTTCTCAGCAGTGTGTCGCTCAGGATTTCTGCCCCTTCCCTCAGATATCTAACCATGGTTGTGAAGGACCAATGTAATTTGTGAGAAGCACAAAAATGATTTTGAATTATTGACATGGATTCCATTTCCTGATCTGCCAAATCAGTCTGGAAAAAAAGTCCTCCACCTAAAATCACTTCTCTGCCTTGCAGGATATTGAAGATTCACGAGTTTATGCCTGAAAAAATGACTCCAGAGTTCAAGAGAAAACTGATTTGATCATTGCGTGATTATAGTCAAACTCATTTTCTGGTATGATAGTGATCACTGGCCATTTGTTAAGTAATGATTACAGGTCCTCCCTTTAAGGCTAACATAGTTGCAAAAATCAACAGTTAAATTTTGGGTTTCATTGGCTACCATTTAGTGTCACAGGTGGTACATGGTGGTGTATTTGCAACACCAGGCTTATCTGAGGCACATTCGCATATCTTCAGTTTTACTGCCATGTTCTGGCTTGATGAAGTTCAAGGCACCAGGCATTTCTGAATATTGATGTGATTTCTGTCTTTCCAGTTGGAAGAAGCAAGATTTTTAAGGTCATGAAAACAAGCCACACCCATTGCAGTGATGACATTTTCATGCTGGAGGCTAACCTCAGCAAACAGAAATATCACTTGACTTTCTACATTTTTAAAGCATTAATACTGTATATGGAAAATTGTTCAAGAGGTTCCAGATATGCAGCTTTTATGCATGTGAGAACATTGATTAGATATTTTTCTGTTCCTACAGTGATATGTTTGTGTATATATGTGTATATATATATATATATATACACATACATATATATACAGATATGTATATAATATATATGGTGTATTTTAAAAATCTAAATGTGCATACTTATAATCAGTTTTTTTTAAAAGACAGCTATAAAAGAAGACATCAGGAATGAGACATTTTCACAACTCTTGACTAATGTGAAAATACCTGCATTAATTATATTGCTCATATGTAAGGTGTGACTATTTAGTCATGGGACAGATTTTTTTTTTAACAGATTAGAATTTACACATCCAAAGGGATAATGTTAACCCCTTCAAGGCAATCACCATGGGAAGCTATACTTGTGCTGAAGATTCTGCCTTTGCTTAAAATATGTGTGCAAGTCCTCTTTGGGAGTGACCTTCAAGAGCCAGTCTATTTTGATTTGAGTCTTTAGTAAGCAGAGCGGAAACCAGACTCATTCCTTTTATGTATCACCCCTCATTTTTTACCCAAATGGTTGTGTCCAGTTTGATCCCCTACTGCAGTCCCCTGCTATGGCCCAGAATGACTCTGCTGTTTTCCAAAACTCAGATCCATTGTCATAGGACAGATTTGTCATCCCTGGGAATAAAAGAATGATTTTGGCTCTAAAAGTAATTTTGAGAGGAAGTGCCCTGAGCAAGAATTAGTTCTGTCAATAGCTTCCCATAAATGAATGGGGATAACACTTGTTTGCACATTCAACTTCTATCTATTTGAACCTCTGTCACATTATTGTCACACTTCACCTGTGTCAGGCAAAAGGGCCTTTGTGACCTGAAGCTTGATTCAAGTACTCAGCCATTGAGAAAAACTGGTTTAGTAGAAGTCTGAGAGATTAGGAGGTCTGAAGCTGGGAATGGAGGTGGGGATGGGGTGGTTAAAATGCAGAGAGGTTTCATGACTTCATATTAATAGTGGATATCCACCTCACACCTTGTCCCTTTACATACATAATCTCCGTTGATCCTTACCACAATCTGGAAGGTGGGAACTGCCAATTATCCCCATTTTACAGATGAGGCCAACAGGGTTCAGCGATTCCTTTGTGGTCACACAGCTGGCATACACCACTTTGTAATGGACATATTGTGTCTTATCAGAACCAAACCAAGATTGCCCAGCAATAACCAATTATTCCTAACTGTTTTAAGGTATTGGTGTGATGTGGTTGAGGTGGAGAAATTGTGTGGTCTTTTGTAGACGTTGCATTGAAATACTTTGAAAAGATGGGCTAAGGTGTGAGTGGCAGGATGGAGGAAACAGGGAAAGGATGTCTGGGAGGTTGGAGCCCGTATGTTGTAAAAATCAGTCCAGTGATTAGTGCAGTACCATGCACATAGGCACTTCAGCCGATGTTTCTGGAATTAAATGAAAGATGGCTGGGCCCTTCTTCAAATTGGCAGGTGGATGCCTGAGTATACCCCCTCTGCCCAATTTGCAAATGGGCTATTTTAAAAAATACACTCGTGTGTTCTCTGTATATGTATGGGGTTCATGTTCTGCCTCCAGGTCTAAAAAATCTTAAGCTGAGGACATTAATTAGTGGGATCCATGTTGCTTTGTGTTTTGGTAATAAAAGCCGGAGATTTCAATCCTGCCAAATAAGAGTTAGATCATAGTGATTTTTCAGTTCTGTTGGACAGCTGTTGGAGGTATTTACTTTAAAGTGTCTCCAGAGTTTGGCCATCTTATATTTTCAAGAGGGAAAGAGGCCCTGGGGAACCAATCCAGGGACCAAAAAAAATCCTGGTACTAACCAAGTAGCCAACTGGATGTGACCATTGGATCCTCAGCCCCTGGAATCTGAGCGGGCTGTGGAGCTGAGGCAGTCATGGGAGCTCACATCTGGAAAGGTAAGGAGATTGGCTTGTAGCTGACTTCCTAGGGGGCTGAAGTCTCTTCCCTTTCATGGCTTATAAAGTCTCTTGCTTAGGTACGATGGTCTGGGGCAGTATTTGAATGGGCATCTCAGATCCTCTGGCAGGGTCCAATTTGTAATCTTCTTTCCCAGGGCTTGTAGGAGAAGAGACAGATGTGTCTGGAGATGCTGAGAAGGGAAAAAGATGTTAGTTCAGATTATTCTCTTCTCTCCCAGTTAAAATAAAAATGTAAACTGAAAACTCAGAGCAGCATGAGCTTTTTGACCAGAGCTCACAATAATTACCTGTTTGCTAAATTGGCTGACAAGTCTGATAGCCCACAGTGCTTATTTATCAAACTTGGCTTCCAGTGACTTTTGACTATCTTCCCCCCCCCCCCCCCCAAAAAAATCAACTTGACTCTCAAAGAAGGAAGATTTTTCTATCAAAGTTAAGGGTAATTAACTTTTTTTGGGTCATGGACTTCTCAAATAAAGTTTTTAAATACACAAAATAGGATTATAGCACAAAGGAAACCAATTATATTGAAAAGTCTAATTTTAAAGTTCACAGACCCCAGGTAAACAACCTTTGATCTAAGACATTCTAATATTTCCTGATACCCCCAACATCTGTATCTCAGTCCTACAGGGCCCTGTTTCTAGCTAGCTGCCAGCTAGTTCTTGCTAATGTGGGGCCTCCCATAAGCATTTGCAATTAATAGATGCTGCCACCTTTAAGTTCCTTGTCAGACTCAAATGCCACTCTAAGGTGGAATTTCAGGCACCATGACTCGTGGCAAGGTTGAGATTTGGGAGCAGGGACCCCTTAAAGCACAGCATAGGGACAGCTATTCTCATACAGACTGTGTTCTACATCCTCAAAGCCCAGTGATTCCAGTTGCTCTTCTGTTTTTTGTAACTTCAGCCCAAGAGCCCTATTTGGTGTCCTCACCGTGACCTTCTGTAAAAGAGCAGCTCTGACTTGCTGAAGGGGCAGCCTGGATCACTGAACTGAGGGTATTGGGAAGGATGTGGCTTGTGACTGGCTCCAGGTTTAGGTTGGGCATCCCCGAATGATACTGGGGCATCTCTGTGGTGTTCCCTGTAAGCAAGTACAAAGGGAGAGTTTGGGTCAGGGCTGTAGCTAGGTGGAGTAAATAGTTTGTAATCATTGTTACAGTGGATGACAGGAGGGAGGAGGGATGAACCTGGAAATAAATGGTGATGTGAAAATAAAAGATAACAATGAAAATATGACATGAAAGGAAAAAAAGGAAAGGTAGAAAGGAATGTCAAGAAATGGGGGAAAATGGGAAGAAATAAAAAGCTAATCCTTCTGCCTTCTCTCCAATTTCTATGTATCCAAAGGTATAGTGGATGGCAAATAAAGCCTGAGACTAGGTGAATTGGAATTCTCCCTCAGACAGTTACTAGTTGGATGGGCCTGGGCAAGTCTCAGACTCAGTTTTATCATCTGTAAAATGGGAATAATTATATCTACTTCACAGAGTAGTCATGAGGCTCAAAAGAAAGAATGTAGGTAACCAAATATTAAAGCTATTATTATTATCAGCTGTTGTTATCCCACATCTCTGTACCCTAGCCCCATTCAAGGAGCAGAAGTTGATTCCATCCCTTTTTCTGCCACCCTGACTCCAATATCTGTCTGGCCCAAGGTCTTTTCAACTCCTGCTTCCTCTCAGTTCTAAGTCTACCTTACCATTACCATACCATTTCCATTCCAGCCTCAGGCTGTCCGGATCTCACCATTGCCCATTTGCCCTGTATCTCTTTCCCCCACCCCCAGTTTCGTAATAGCAAGCATGTATATAGTGGTTTGAAGTCTGCAAAGCACTTGGCATATATTGATTGTCTCATATAATCCTCACAACCACCCTGAAATATGTGCTACTATTTTCCCGATTTTACAGATGAGGAAACTGAGATAGAGGTTAAATGACTTGTCAGGGGTCACGGAACTAGAAAGTGACTGAGGTGGGATTTGAACTCGGGCCTGCCTGACTCCAAATGTAGCGCTCTGTCCACTATATCACCTCCAACTCTTCCATCAGTTGTTGTTAACGGGAACCGAGCATTTTGGGGGGACTTGGTGAAAATTCACTTAAGACCCCACAGCAGCCCATAGTCTGGGCGTAGCTGACTGTCAGTCTTCACCGGGTTGCTATGGTAGCTGGAGGACTGGAACAGGAGGGCCCAAGCACAGGGTGGGGGGTGGGGCACTCGAGGGCGGGGCCGGGAGAGACCCGGAGAGTAGGTGGGGGCCTTGCCTACCTCCCAGGAGCATTTCCTGCAGCAAGCTGTCGATGCGAGCCATGCCGAAGAGTTTCACAAACTGGATCTGCTCTATCATCTGCCAGGTGATGCTCTGCAGCGGGGGCAGCAGGAGGAGGAGGTCGCTGAAGCGGCCCCGCGAGTCGTACTGCCGGTCCGTGACGTAGTCCTCCAGGTTCACCTGCACCTGGAAGCGCATTCGTTTCACCTTTCCAGGGTCGCTCAGGCCTTTGCAGTCTGGGAGAGGGAGAGAGAGAGTGGAGAGGGCACAATGTCAGGTCACCGGGGCGCCGCACTCCCCTGCCGAGGCGTGATCCCCGGCGAAAATCCTACGACAACATCACAGAATCACAGAAAGTTCGCGCTGAGTGCCTCAGCTCATTGGACAGATGCCCAAGCCTGTGTCTGTCCACTGTTACACCCTTGCTGCCTCACTGACTCCATTCCTAGCCTCAATCACACTTGGCACCAATCAATGAGCCTTCTCTGTTGCTGGGCACTAAAGGATATAAACACAAAAGGGAATGATCATTGCTTAAAATTCTGGCCTCCAGATTAGGAATGTCCAACCAAGGTTGCCACATTTTTACAAGCAGCGTAAAGACATCTCCAGCCCCCCGCAATGCAGAAGGGACGGGGAGGGGAGGGGGGAGAAGGGAAGGGAGAGAAGGAAGGAAGGAAGGAAAGGTAGGAAGGAAGGAAGAAAAAAGGTAGGAAGGAAAGGATGGTGGGAGGGAGGGAGAAAAGAAAAAAAGGAAGGAAGAGAGGAAGGAGGGGAGGCAGTGAGGGAGGGAGGAAGGAAGGAAGGAAGGCACTGTACTAAGTGCTTTATAAATAGTATTTCATTTGATCTTCACAATAACCGCCGGAGGAAGGTGCTAGTATTACCCCTGTTCTACAATTGAGGAAACGGAAGCAGAGAGGTTTAAGTGACTAGCCCAGGGTCACACAGCTAGTAAGTGTCAGAGGCTGAATTTAAACTCGAGTATTCCTGACTTCAGGCCTGGCACTGTGCCACGTTATTGGAGACTACTGATTAAAACCTCTGTATTAACTGATATATAAACTAATTAAAACCTCTGTAGTTGAATCTTGTCAACTTAAAAAATACTATGATGTGCATTTCAATATAACTCGTTTCCGTGTGTGTAGTTTATGAATTTACAAACATTGTTTTTCAAAGGAGTCCAGTCAAGTCGAAGAGTCCTTTCAGATAAAGGTTAGAATTCCTCCAGAGAGAATGAGGCAGCTGACAGGGCCTGGTTCCTGGTTCTGCTTCCCTCCCCCACTTTGGTACTTGCCTGTGTACATCAGTAGGCTGAGGCATTCACCTTTGGCGATTGGATGGATACCTTCCAGAAGTTTAAAGGGTTTAGCTGACGTGGGGATTGTGAGTACAAAAGTCGGTCCCTCTTGGTGACCCAGAGGTCTCCAATCTTCCAGGCGGTTCAGTGGGTTAGAGCGCTGGGCTCGGGATCAGGGAGACCCAAGGTCAAACGGCCTCAGACTCTAACTAGTGGTGGGACCCTGGGCATGATACTCTCATCTACAAAATGAAGGGGTGTAGACGTGATGGTCTCTAGTGTTTATTCTAGCTCTGAAGCTTGGAGCCTGTGATTTCCTCAGTTTAGAGAACTCTGGATGGAGAAACTCTGCAGTCTTAGAGAGGTTTCTGAGAGGCACCAACAGATCAAATGGCTTTCCCAGGGTCATAGAGTAGTACATCAGATATGAGTCAGAGGCAACACTTGAATACAGGTCTTCCTGATGCTAAAGCCAGTCCTCTAGTCTATACACTGGACCTCTAACTCGGTGTTGTTGTTCAGTCGTGTCCACTCTCGGTGACCGCATTTGGGGTTTTCTTGGCGAAGATACAGTAATGGTTTGCATCCATTTGGTACCTGAAGGCTTTCCTTTTTCCCTCTCCCCACCTTTTTTTCTTCCCTTGGCTGGTTTCTCTTCCATATCACACCAACCCATTCCCATTCTTCCTTCCTTCCTTCTTTCTTTCTTTCCTCCCTCCTCTTTCTTTCTCTTTCCTCCCTCCTCTTCCTTCTCTCTTTCTTTCCTTCTTCCTTCCTTTTTTTCTTCCTCCCTCCCTTCCTTCCTTCATTTCTTTCCTCCCTCCCTCCTTCTTTCTCTTTTTTCTCTTTCCTCTCTCCTCTCTTCCTTCTCTTTCCTCTCTCCTCTCTTCCTTCTCTTTCTTTCTCCCTCCTTTTCTTTCTTTCCCTTCCTTCCTTCCTTTCTTTCTTTTTCTTTCTTTCTCTTTCCTTTTTCCTCTCTTCCCTCCCTCCCTTTCTTTCTTTCCTCCCTACTTCTCTTTCCTCCCTCCTCTCTTCCTTCTCTTTCTTTCCTCTCTCCTTTTCTCTGTCCCTTTCTTCTTTCCTTCCTTCCTTCCTTCCTTTCTTTTTCTTTCTTTCTCTTTCTTTTTTCCTCTCTTGCCTTCCTCCTCTTTCTTTTTCTTTCTTTCTTCCTCCCTCCCTCCCTTCATTTCTTTCTTTCCTCCCTACTTCTCTTTCTCTTTCTTTCTCTTTCCTCCTTCCTCTCTCCCTTCTCTTTCTTTCTTCCCTCCTTTTCTGTCTTCCTTCCTTCCTTTCTTCCCTCCTTTTCTCCCTTCCTTTCTCTTTCTTTCTTTCTTTCTTTCTTTCTTTCTTTCTTTCTTTCTTTCTTTCTTTCTTTCTTTCTTTCTTTCTTTCTTTCTTCCTTCTATTTTCATGCATAGCCAGAGTCAGCAACTAGTGACTTTTAGTTCTCTTACCTGGATCAAAGAATATAATAGCTTTAAGACAAGCATATTCGTTGTCATCAATTTGGATTTCTCTCAAGGGCTTGACCAACTCTTCCAATATTCTTATAGCAACTCGAGCAATTTCCAGTTCTGGGCAGTGCATAGGAATAATGAAATCATTTCCTGGGGAGGAGTGAGAACAGCAGTATCATCTGCAGGCTATAGAATCATCTGCATTGGACTCTGTCAACAGGTACACCTGACATGAAAGCCTATATACAGAGAATGGAACATAAGAAACTGACCTTTGGTGTATCTACAAGTAGATATGCTACTACAAGTAGATATACTAAATCTCTTCCAGATTGGGGCCTGGGAGAGAACCTTGTAGGATTATGAGCTTGTAAGAAAATGACTACCTGACCAAAGATCCTTTTTGAATAAACAGACCTTTTGGCATTTAAGTAATGATCATTTGGTACAGACGCTTACTCTAGGGCAAAAATCATGGAGATAGCCAGCCACTCTTTTGGGTCCTTTTCAATTCTTTGTAGGTACATCCCCTCCTCTCCACACTTCTAATGATCTGGTCCTCTCCCCTGCTAAACCCTGCTCTCAGGAAAGGTACAGAGTCACAAAGTATAAATGGTTAATCAATCTTAAAATTCAATTAAAATCTCAATCAAATTAATTCAATTAAAATTCAATAAAAAATCTCTTAAAGTCTATGGGACTTGATTAATTTATTTGTATTATTATTATTATTAAAAATGATCATTTATTAATCAAATCCAATCTTCTGATGGGTATTTGCATTTTAATATAGGACTGAAGACATAATGTAGGGCAGCTAGGTGGTACAGTGGATGGAGTGCCAGAACTAGAGTCAGGAAGACCTGAGTTCAAACCCAGCCTCAGACACTTCGTAGCTGGGTGAACTTAGGTAAGTCACTTAAACCTGTTTGTCTTAGTTTCCCCATCTGTCAAATGAACTGGAGAAGGAAATGACAAATCACTCCAGTATCTTTGCCAAGAAAATCCAAAGTGGGTCAATGGAGAGTCAGACATGACTGAATAATGACAACTGAAAGGACTGAGGATTATTGGGAATGTAGCACTATAATGGTCAAGTTTCAAGCAAAAATTAGATTGGCTTGAGGAGGTATTTTGGGGAAAAGAGTCAGGAGTTGGTAATTTCACTATAGCCCAATTCAGGTAGCTGCCTCTTTCACTTATGATTAAGTCTAGCTTTCTGTAATACTGATAAGGAAAGAGCTCACATTTAACAAGTAAATTTTGGTTTCCTTTAAATCCCAAATAAAATCCCATCTTCTACAAGAAGCCTTTCCCAACCTCTCTTAATTCTAGTGCTTTCCCTCTGTCAATTATTTCCTATTTATCTTGTATATAGCTTGCTTGTTGTCTCTCCCACTAGATTATAAACTCCTTGAGGGCAGGGACTGCCTTTCGCCTCTATTTTGTAATCCCCAACATTTAGCACGGTGCCTGCCACATTGTTGTTGTTCTGACTCTTTGTGACCCCATTTTTGGGGTTTTCTTGGAAAAAGATACTGGAGTGGTTTCCCATTTCCTTCTTCAGTATGTCCCCATTTTACAGATGAACTGAAGCAAATAAGGATTAAGTGACTTGCCCAGGGTCACACAACTAGGTAAGTGTGAGGCCATATTTGAACTTAGATCATCCCGACTCCAATCCGAGTGCTCTATCTACTACACCACCCAGCTGCCCTCAACACATAATGCCAGCATATAGTAGATGCTTAATAACTATTTATTGATTGATTAGTAAAATCAATCTAGGTGGGGAAAAACCGACTTGGACAATGTAATAACTTTTCCTGACAGCAGGTGGTGCTGTAGGATATGCTCTGCTAATCTGATGAAACTTGGTGAAGTGTTAGCTGTTTTATTTTTCTCTTTTTACTTCGGTCTATCCTTTTTCCTTCCTTGTTGTGCTATGTAACTTGATTCAGCACCAAAAAAAAAACCAAAAACCGAAAAAAAAAACCAAACCCCAAGAAAATCTCTTAAAGCCTATGGGACTGGCTCATTTATTAGGTAAATGCCGTGTTGCTGATTTTTTTGTAAACGCCTTCTTATACAATGGAGACACAGTAGTAGGCAGTTATTAACAGATTTGACCAATGTTCATAAAGTACTGGCTGGATCCTTAGCATTAGAATGGACTTTGCCAGGGAGCCCCGGGATTCCATTCCATCCCCCCAACCTGTCCTCTCTGTTCCTATGGTCACCACTCTAGGTTGATCTCTCCTCACTTCTAGACACAACCTCCTGACAGAATTCCCTTCCTCTAGCGCTCCCCACTTCAATCCATCAGACTGCAGTTCCCAAATGGCTATCCCTTAGAGCGTGGGTCTGAGCACGTCCCTCCCTTCTTCAAGAAGCTTCAAAAGCTGCCTACTGGCTGCGGCATGAACAGCTTTCCCCATGTTTGGGATTTAAAGCCCCTGCCAATCTGGCTTCAGACTTTCTAGGCTGCTGCGATATTATTCTCCCTGGTGTACTTTTTGGCCCAGCCCAAATGGCTCAATGGCCATTCCCCATCCACAGCATTCCATCTCCTCCCTTTCTCTCTTTGCACAGTCTGTATCCTACCTCCTAGACTCCCTAGTTCCCTTTAAGTGTCTGTCCAGGTGCCACTTCCTACAGCATGAGCTTTTTCCTTATTCATCTCATCGATCCTTTACACCATCCTTGTAAAAACAAATACTTTCTATGTACTTTGCTCTTACGTATCTTTGTATATATTATACATTGTCTTTAATGCTTATGATTCTGTGCATGCTGTGTATTACAATGCCGTTTTCCTCCAGTATAATGCACCTCAAAATCTAAAGCATCTGGGCTGTTTTGTTGTTGGTCTTTGCACCCTCAATATATGCACAATATACAATATATGCACAGATCAGTAAATACAAGGTAATTTGAGGAAAGAGGGGGCTTTGACAACTGGGAAGAGCAAGGAAGACTTCATGGAATTGTTAGCATCTGAAGGATGATCAACATTCTTATAGAATCACAGAATCTCTGGATTGGAAGGACCTCAGAGGGGGTCTATTTCAACCCATTTTTGAAGAAGACTCTTTCTGCAGCATACTCAACTAGTGGGCACCCAACCTTTGCATGAAGGGGAGAGAAAGGATTATTTCTGTCTTATATTAATAACCAATTATTGAATTAGGATGAAGATGTTTTCCCTTTTCTACTTCCTCATTCAGAAATCAGCCCCTGTAGTTTATTCAGGCAGTTTTTGAAGTGCAGGGCTGATAAGGAGAGGGAAAACTCAGCTCTGGTCAAAAGGTAAGGAAATTTTAGTCTAGGTGAATTGATGGATTCTGGCCCATTGTTTTACTCAGACAGGTCTGGAAAAATGTGGATTCTCCTTTTTTTTCTAGATTACCCCAGAGGGGGTGATATGGGTACAAATAAGTCTCTTTGACCAAGACTGAGTGATCAGTCACATCCCCCAGACCCTCATTAGAATTAGCCCACTTTTCATTATAACATTCATTCTCCCATTAATTATTAACCAACCAGAGTCGATTGCCACTCTCAGGAACACCCAGTCTTCCAAAGGCATATAAATGTTGAATGGGTTCCATGAGAGGTCTTTGGTACTTAAGAGTGTCACTGACCCCTTTTATTAATTACATGCTAGCATGTTTAATAAAATGATTAATTACCTAGAAACTAGGTCTCAAACTTTTTATACATTACAAAGGTCTCCAAGTTAGGAGGGAGCCCACTCCTGGGGGCAGGCCAGTCCATTTTTGCACAGCAATAAGACATTTTCTCTTAGATGAAGTTTCTTCTTTTTGGGGGGGGGGGAGGGTGAGGCAATCAGTCTTAAGTGACTTGCCCAGGGTCACACAGCTAGTAAGTGTCAAGTATCTGAGGCTGGATTTGAACTCAGGTCCTCCTGACTCCAGGGCTGGTGCTTTATGTACTGCACCACCTAGCTGCTCCTAGATGAAGTTTTAATTTGCTTCTTTTCACTGCTTCCACTCATCCCCCCAGGGCTCTTCCTTCTATACTTTGGGGCCAACCTAAGCAAATCTCTCTTCTAAAGGAAAGTCCATCAAATACCTGAAGATGACCATAGAATCATAATGCTAGAAGGAACCTCGGAAGCTATTATATCCAACCCCTTATTTTTAGACGAGGAAATGGAGACTTGGAAAGGTTAACTTACTTGCCTGAAGGCACAAAAGTAGCCAGCATCAGAGGCAGATTTTGAAGCCAGGTTAACAGTGCTATTGCTACTCTCTCCACACTGCCATTGTGACACCCCTCTCCTTTCCCCTCTTCCCCCAAGTGTTCCTTTCTTTCAGTAAACATTCTCCCTTTCTTTCAGTAAACATTCTCCCTTTCTTTCAAACAGTCCCTTATAGCATGATTTAAAGGCTCTTCACCATCCCTATCAATCTTCTCTGGATGTCCTTGTTGAAATGTTGAGTACAGAATGGAGTCCAATACTTTATTTGTAGAAAGAACAGAGCAGAACTGACCCCTCCCTGGTCCCGGATGCTAGGCACTGCTTTGCTTGATGCAACCTAAGAATGCAGTAGCTTTTGTATCACCCTATTGACTTATGTTGAGCTTGTAGTCCATTAAAATCTTCTACCTCTCTTTGTAGACGATCTGCCTAATTCTGAGAGGTGGAGAGGAGGAAGAAATGTATTCCAGGCGTAGGGTATGACATATGAATGCTAAGTACTCCCTTCTCCTATAGAAGAAGAAACTTGAGCTTAGAGGAAGTGACAAGGTCACACAGGGCCAAAGAGCCAATATTCAAACCCAGGTCTTTTGATTACAAATCCAGTGTTCTTTCCATACTATCCTCTGTTTTCCTTCAAAAGAGAGGTAGCATGATGTACTAGAAAGAGAATTATACTTAGAATGAAGAGATTTAAAGTCTTACACCTGGTTCAAAGAAATCAGGGTCAGAAGTAGAAGATGGGGGAAGGCATGGTTAGGCAACAGTCTGAAGAAGATCTGGGGGTAGTAGTTTGCAAATTCAATGAGTCAAGAAGAGTATGTTAGTCCAAAAAGTCAATGCAATCTTAGGATGCTTTAAAGAATAAGGAGATGGTGGATAGAGTACCGGCCCTAGAATCAGGAGGACCTAAGTTCAAATACGGCCTCAGACACATGATACTCACTAGCTGTGTGACCCTGGGCAAGTCACTTAACCCCAATTGCCTTACAAAAAAAGATGTTATATGAAAAAAAATAAGGAGATGGCCCTACTATCCTTTGCTCTGGTTAGCCCACAGCTGGAATAATGTGTTTAGTTCTGGGCATCATGGTTTAGGAAGAATATTGGTAAATTGGAGTGTTTAGAGGCAGCAACAAAGCTGGTAGAGGACCTTGAGTCTGCTCTACACCATATGAAGACTGTTGGAAGGAACTATAGATGTAGACAGGCAGCATGGTGTAAGGCAAAGTCCACTGAATCTGGATCCGTATTTGAACCCTGGCTCTGCCTCTTTGTACATGTGTGACCGTCAGCCGGTCACTTAACTCTCAGAGTCTCCGTTTCTTCATATGGAAAATGAGAGGGTTAGACTAGTTGACCTCTATGATCCTTTCCACCTTCAACTATGATCCTATGATCTACGCTTAGCATGGAAAAGAGAAGATTTAGGAGAGAAATGAGAGCTGTCCTCAAGTATTCAAATGGCTAATATATGGAAGAGGGAATTGATGTGTTCTGTTTGGTTAAGATGAAACCAGAGCACTGGGTGAAAGTTACAAAGAGACAAATTCAGGCTTGATGTCAGGGAAGACTTCCTAGCAGTTCAAGCTATCCAAAAATGGAACAGGCTGCCTTAGGATGTAATGGGCTCTCCCTCCTTTGGGTTCTTCAAGCAGAGACTAAATGACCATTTGTCAAATATATTTGCAGTAGGCGTTCCTTTTTGGGGTATGGGTTGGACTGTGGTCCCTTCCAAATCTAAAATTCTGCGATTCTGTGACTCTACACACACAGACATACACACATGCACACACACACACACACACAGACACACACACACACACACACAGACATACACACACACACACACACACACACACACACAGACACCGCTCTAGTCATATCTGCCTCTGTATCTCTGGTCATCTCACCCATCAGAAATACCTTACTCCCTTTTCTCTTTCAGTTTGAATGTCCCCCCATCTATCAAGGCTCAGGTTGGGTCCCATCTCTCCTCCAAGCAGTTTGTCCTGGCTACTCTAGACTGTAACACTGGCCCGGGTACTCCTAACTGTATCGTTGGCTTTATCTACTGGCTCCTAACTACAGATCTATGGCCAGACTAATTAACTCTCATTTCAGCACTGGAAGTCAATGCCAGTAAAAGACTTACAATGGAAGTTGGAGCAGAGCAAGAGGAGAGAATCCTGGAATGTTTATTCTTTTTACCTAAAAGCAGGAAATCTGTGTAGGGAATAGATCGTTTGGCAACTCCAAGAAGAAGGTGTTCTCCAGCGTGGGCCCTTAATAATGCCACCTGCAAGGCACATAAGACAGAGAAAAGAACTGATTACATATCTGAAGAAGAGCTCAAAGAGATCTTTGGGATTTCCTTTTGTAGGTGGGGAAACTGAGGCAGAGAGGAAGATTAAAGAAATAAATGCACTGATTCAGTCACATTTTAACTTCTTAATCAGTCTTAGAATGTGAATTAATTTGCTCTCATTTTACAGGAATCCAAGGCCCAGAGAACGGAGGTAACTTCTTCATTTTCATACTGGTCTAGGCAGGACCAGGACTAGAAGCCAGGGTGCTCTTCCTATTTTTTTTTCTCCCTTCTGAATCATGCTGCCTTTCCTTTAGCTTGATAGCCAAGGATTTCTTTGGAGTTCATCCCTTTCATTTCACAGATAAAAACCCAAAGCTTAGATAGGGGACCTGGCTTATTTAAGGTCACATAGTTCAGGGCAGCGCTAGGACCAGAACCCAAGGATTCTTGTACAGTATTCTTTTTGAATACTTTTTAGTATTTAGAAATTTGTTAGTTTCTAAAAAAGAAGAAAGTTTTATTTTTATCTTTTGTTTTCTTGTGTGTTTGCTAGGCAATGGGGTTAAGTGACTTGCCCAGGGTCACACAGCCCAGTAAGTGTCACATGTCTGAGGCTGGATTTGAACTCAGGTCCTCCTGACTCCAAGGCCAGTGCTTTATCCACTGCACCACCAAGCTGGCCCTGTCTTTTGTTTTCAGTGTTATAATTGTTTCCCAGTATTACCTCTTCTCCTTCACCCACATTCAATCCTCTAAAGAAAAAAAGGAAAGAACCAAATAAAACCCAAGAAAAAGGAGTCATATCTAAATAGCATTAGCAAACCTTGTACACCCGTAAGATTCTTTCTCTCCTTTCGGAGGATAGGAGGGAAATGTGTTTCATCATCTTTTCTCTGGGACCAAGATAGAACAATGAAAGGGAATACCAGGGTTTAACATAGTATTGACATACAGTAAGCACTTACTAAATGCCTGCTGACTTGTCATGACTAAATTTGAATTTGGTAGCATATTCCTGTTGCTTTTGTTTACATTATAGTAGACCTTATACATTATAATATTATTCATTATATATGCATTATGCATTATAATATTATATATTATAGACATTGTTGTCTTGGCTCTATTTCCTCTGTTCCATATCAGTTCATACAAGTCTTCTCTTGGCAGCTAGGTGGTGAGCATCAGGCCTGGAGACAGGAAGTCCTGAGTTCAAATTTGGCCTCAGATACTAACTAACTGGGCAACCCTGGCAAACCATTTCATCTCTGTTTTCTCATCTATAAAATGGGGGCGATAATAGCACCTACCTCCAAGGATTGTTGTGAAGATCAAATAAGAAAATAATTGTAAAGTGTTTAGTACAGTACCTGGTCCATAGTAAGTACTATATACATGTTAGTATTATTATTATGCCCCCTAAATTTATACTTTTCCATTATGTCTTTTGAAATTCAACACCTTTTATTTCCACTTTCCCCATGAAATTTGTTATTTAGTTTAGTTCTAGAAAATAACTCCTTGGAATTTTAATTGGCATAGCACTCAACCTGTAAATTAATTCAAATAATATTGTCATTTTTATTACATTGATTCAGCCCAACCACAATGACTCTAATTATTTGTCTTCCTTTATTGCTGTAAGGAATGATTTGTATTTGGATTTCTATAAATCTCGTATGTGTCTTAGTAGTTTCAATTCAGATATTTTATGGAGTTGTTTTGAATGGTATATCTCTTTCTATCATTTTCTCCCGGGTTTTTGTCAGTAGTGAATGGAATGTCTGATTTTTTTATAGACTTATTTCATATTCTGCCTCTTTGCTGAAGCTAGTAATTATCTTGATTTGTTTCTTCACTGATTCAATGGGGTTTTCTGGCCTTCTTTCTGTTTGTCACATTTCCCATCTACACACCTTTACACTAGCCATTCCCCATATGAGGAATGCACTCCTTCCTGACTTCCAACTCAGAGAATCCCTCTCTTCAACCAAAATGTCAATTTTACTGTAAGCATCCACCCCCTCTCTGCTCTTCTCTCTTCCCCACCCTGGTGCAGGCCCCCATCACCTCATTTACAGTGCATTAGCTTACTAGTGTCTCTCTGCCTCTCAGCTGTCAAACTGACCTTCCTAAAACAAGTCTGACCATGTAACCCCCTACTCAATAAATTCCAGAGGCTCCCTGTCACCCCTGGGCTTGAGTATAAAATACTGCTTGTTGTTCAGGTCCTTCATAAGACACTCCCCCTACTCCTTTCCGATCTTGTTACACATTACACACGTGTGCACACACACACACACACACACACACACACACACACTCTTCTCTTCCTCTCCATTCCCACCCCCCCACCTCATGTACTCTGCAATCCAGTAACAATGGTTTCCTCAGCTTTTTCTCAAAGTAGACACTCCATCTCTCTGCTCCAGGTATTTCCTCTAGCTGTCCTCAATGCCTGGAACGTTCTTCCTCTTCATCTCTGCCTCCCGGCTTTTCTGGCTTTCTTCAAGGTCCAGGTAAAATCCCACCTTTCATTGAGGCCTTTCCCTATTTCTCTTAATTCTAGTGCTTTCCCTATGTTGATAATTTCCCATTTATCCTGTATAGAACTTGTCCACACATAGTTGCTTGCATGTTGTTTCCCCCATTAGACATTAAGTTCCTTGAGGGCAGGTCTTTTGCCTCTTTTTGTATCTCTAGTGCTTAGCACGGTGCCTGGCACATAGTAGGCGCTTGATAAATGTTTATTGATACCTTCTATATGATGCTTTTTTTAATCCCTCCCAATTGCTAGTTCCCTCCTGTTTCTATGTTTGTTCTTTGACCCATTCATTATTTAATATGCTATTACTTAGTCTCTTTTGCTTTTTCTTTATTAATTATAATTTTATTATGCCCTTTTATTTGAAAATTTTATTTATTATTGCTAACATTTTATATTTATCTTTTATTTCTTTATGCCTTCACAAATCATGAATTTTTATAAAGTCACCCTCTGATTCTAATAAATATTATGTTCTTTAATGTGTAATTCACAAATCACCCATGGTCTTAAAATATCATTATTATTATTATTATTATTTAGGCAATTGGGGTTAAGTGACTTGCCCAGGGTCACACAGCCAGTAAGTGGCAAGTGTTTGGTCTGAGGCTGGATTTGAACTCAGGTCCTCCTGACTTAAGGGTCGGTATTCCATCCACTATGCCCCCTAGCTGCCCAAGTCTTAAAATATTATTGTCCCATAATTCTGTTCATCTCTTGTGTTTTTCTTAGATTTATCCAGTTCAGAAAAGGAATATTAAAATCTCCTGCAATTATTATGTTGCCATCAATGCCTTTTTGCAATTTGACTAGCTTTTACTTTAGGAATTTAGAAGCTATGCCATTTGTTGCATATATTAAAATAAATTTTATTGATATCTTGTTTTTATATCACCTAGATTTTCTCCTGCATGTCTCTCCAACCCCATCAGATAGCCATTTTTATAAGAAAGATTTTTTTAATAGAAAAAGAGGAAGAGAAAAAAACACCCAAACTCAACACATTGAAAAAAAATCTGATAATTCTGTTAAATATATATTTAATACTATAGTTTCATTGTCTATGGTACCTTCAAACAAAATGTAGTTTCCTTGCTTAGCTCTCTTGATATTATCTACCTCTCTGTTACTTTATTGTCTTATCTTGTGAGTTATCTGTGACTGCAATTTCTTCGGGTTTGGAATTGTCTGAAGGATAATAGATTTTGCCCAGGCACTCACTGGTATGTATGTTTTGAATGTTTTTCTTGTATTCAGCAGATGTTTTTTTTTGGCATTCTTCCATTCAACTTCTTTTCTTCTGGGGAAGTTTAATCTATCCCTATTTAGAATTATAATTGTTATGTTTGTGTTTTTGTCCATTAAGTTATTTTATGTCAATTACTCCACCCCAAGGGCCCTTTTAAAATGAGCACTTGGTCTCTGTGGTTTGGTTTGCTTACACTAATCTGGTCCCTGTCTCCTCAAACAGATTTCCGCCCTCTAACCTAGCCAGTTCTCTTTATCTGACCTTATTCCAAACTATTGAAGTTAACTTTGATTGATATTTTATTTTTTCAATTCAAATGAAATATTTATTAAGCATCTATATGCAACATACTATGTTAGTCCTTGGAGATACAAAGAAAAACATGAATAAATAGTTCTTATCCTCAAGAAGGTTTTATTCTTACATATAGCCTCTTGCTCCTACATCTCACCATCAGGTTGCCTGGCCACTAAGGCCTGGCTACAGAGCCTCTTGCCATCTGCCCTGCCCCTTTTCTTTGCCCATTAGAATATAAGCTCCTTGAGGGCAGGGACTATCTTTTTGCTTTTATCTGTATCCCCAAGTCTTATAACAGTGCCTGGCACATAGTAAACGATGAAGAAATGTTTGTTACCTACTTACCTATCCTATCCACCAGACCCTTTGGTCACTAGGCCCAAGATTCAAAATTGGCTATTACATTTCTTGAAGAGTTCAGCTTTGCATTTTTCTCTGTGAGTGATGCCCTCTGGATACTAATTTGAATTTTGCCTTCTTTCCATTAGTTTTTTTTAAATAATTTTACCATTACTTCTGGGAAATTTTCCTGTATTATTTTCTTATCTATGGTATTCATGCTTTTAATATCATTGTATTTGTCTGGGAGAGTGGTGTCAAGCTGAAATAGAAACAGATCCCTAGGGACTGCATGTTGACTTAGAAAATTAACATTATGTTATATTGTATTTTAATTCCCTAATTATATTTTAATCTGGTCTGAGTCTTGAGGGCTGCAATTTGACACCTCTGGTCTAGGACACCTTTAATTCTAATATTATTTCTTCCCATGCCATCTTATGCAATTTCTATAGCTTGTAGAGCTTTCATATGTTCTTTCAATTTTGTTTTCTTTCCATTTTTTTCAGTTAATTTTTCTTCTGTCTCTTCAGTTTTCATATTGAAAATCTGTAATAGAATCTACTATTAAGGGGATTTTTCTCCATCATCTCTTCTAAGTTCTCAACTTCCTTGCTTGTTTTTATTAACTTGAGACTTCTAGTTACTGTACTAATTTCACCCTTATTTCCTCTTTTAATTCTTCTGTTCATCTTCTCAACTATTCTAGAGCTTCTTACAGTTGCTGCATTGTCCTTTCTGATGGTCTGGAAAAAATGTATCAGAGAATTTTGTCCTTCAGGAATTTTTCTAGACTCTTTCCTTCTTGTACCTGATCAATGTGATGGCTCCTTTTTGCAACTGTTTACCCATTTCTCATACTTTCTCAATCTCTGTGTTAGCTTTTTTTGGGGGGGGGTAATGCCCTTCTTTTATGGAACCTTTTTACTGTAAGCCCCTTTCCCTTTTTCTGTTAGCTTATAGTAGGAACAGGCCTAGCATCATTGATTCCTTATTTTTTCTATGTTGTTGTTGATTAGTCATTTCAGTCGTGTCTGACTCTTCCTGACCCCAATTGGGGTTTTCTTGGCAAAGATACTGGAGTGGTTTGCCATTTTCTTCTCCAGCTCATTTTACAGATGAGGAAACTGAGGCAAGCAGGGTGAAATGACTTGCCCAGGGTTACGCAGCTAGTAAGTGTCTGAGGCTGGATTCGAACTCAGGAAGAGGAGTCTTCTTGATTCCAGGCCTGACACTCTATCCACTGTGCCACCTAGCTGCCCCATTTTTAAAAGCTATTGTTTTTATGCAGGGCATAGGATTAGGGTACTTGGGGAATGTTAAACGGAGGTCTAAGTGTTAATAGGTAACTGTCTCTCCACTCAGTCCTCAACTTTAGCCTGGGCCTGGAGTGCTGCACAGGGCTGTCTGTGGTTTCAAGGGAAGGGACAAACATTTATTAAGCACCCACTGTATACCAGATACTTTACAAATAACTCATTTAATCCTCACAACAACCCTGAGAGGTAAGTACTATTATAATTCCCATTTTACAAATGAGGAAACTGAGGCTCAGAGAAGCTACAGAACTTTGCCTTTCTGATCCTTGCCCAACTGATGCTCCTGAGGATGTTATAATGGAGCTCAGGTAAGGTGAGATATATGAAAGCATGTTGTAATCATGTTGAGTTAATGCCCTTGTTTTGCCTACCTGGTCATCCAGCGGGAGCTCCCAGAACACTGGGATGTATTTGGCCCATTCAACCAGAACCAACAGCTGCTGCTTCATGGACTCGCACACGTCGCTGATGGTGGCCACCTTTTTTGTGGCCACGTCGGTTCCACTTGTGGGGCTTACGGAGGAGTGCTGAGGAGCAAAGGAGAAAGGCAAAGGCTGTCATTTAGCCGTGTGTCCTGAAGAGGGAGCTCAGAGCTAGCAAAGTCCCTGCACCAGCAAGATGAGGACAAGTTTTGATTTTAAAGGAAAATATAGAATGAAACTGTATCAGGCCAAGATGGAACCTTAGAGATTATCTAGCTCAGCGGTTCTTAACTTGGGGTCCGTGATCTTTTTTTAATTTTTAATATTCTTAATATTTTAATATTTTAAATGATTTTTTTGGGTAATACTATGTTTTTATTTTATATATTTAAAAACATGATTCTGAGAGAGGGTCCTCAGGATTCCCCAGACTACCAAAGTGGGACCATGACACAACAAAAGCTTAAGAACCTCTGGACTGGGCCAAACCTCTCATTTTACATATGGGGAAACTGAGGCTTCTGACCCCACCCCCCCTTACACCATCCTGCAGGCTTGAGAGAAATAGTTACTTGCTAGTTGTATTATACATTGTTTCTATTACATTTATGCCCCAGATAGCAAAGTTTAACAACTCATATCCCATAAATGGAAAAGGCCTCAGGAATCATCTAGTCTCATCCCCCTCATTTTACAGATGAGGAAACTGAGGCCAAGAAAGACCAAATGATTTGCTGAAAGTTATACAGATAGTGCCTGAGGAAGGACACACGAACATTCTCTGTACCAATATTGGGTCCAAGACCAAAACACACAAGCAATGAGAAAAGACAGGGTGGGGCAAGAGAAAAAAGTACAGGAGCTTAGGAGACCTGAGTTCTAGTTTCTCATGTTGCTTCTGACTTTGGTGAAATCACTGCTTCTCTCTGAGCCTCAGTTTCTTTTTCTATAAAAGTGGGAGCTGGATTGAATGACCCAAGGGCGCTAAAAAACCAAGTTCTATTGGTTCTCCTGCTGCTTCTCTTCTGGGTCTCTCTGGATGTCTATTCTTTTGCTCTGTCTCTTTTACTCTCTGTCCCTCTTTATGTCTCTGTCTGTCTCTGAGTGTCTCTATATCTCTGTCCCTCTCTGTGTCTCTGTCTATCCCTCTGTGTCTCTCTGTTTCCCTTTGTGTCTCTTTGTATCTCTGTCCCTCTCTGTGTCTCTGTCTCTGCATCTCTGATTCCTTCTCTGTCTCTCTGAACGTCTACTCTGTTTCCCTTCGTATCTCTTTCTCTGCACCTCTGTCCCTCTCTGTGTCTCTGTCTCTATCCCTCCCTGTTTCTTTGTATTTCTCTGGGTGTCTACTCTGTTTCTCTGTATCTGTGTGTCTCTGTCTCTGTGTTTCTGTCTCTATCCCTCTCTGTCTCTCTGGGTGTCTACTCTGTTTCCCTTTGTGTCTCTTTTTCTGTATCTCTGTCCATCTCTGTGTCTCTGTCTCTGTCCCTCTCTGTCTCTCTGTGTGTCTGTGTCTCTGTGTATGTGTCTAATCTTTGGCTGGAAGACCAGAGTCCATGTAATACAAGCAGACAATTACTACTTGAAAGGGCTGTGAAAGACCGTTCATTTGTGGTCAGCAGCCTGGCCACTCTGTGCTCTGGGGAAGCCGTACAGGCTGAACAGAGCCAAGCCCCCCTCAAGCCTCGGGCAGACCTCCCAGATCAACTTGTGGTCCTCCTACAAAACAAGGGGGAACGGGAATGAGCTTAGGCCTCTATCCCCTCACTGCCAAAGAACCAATTTGTTGATGTTTTCCAGTGAGTTGACTAGGCATGATTGTCTGACAGGGCCCCGTGAGGCTCTATATATTTTGAGTATACAGTGATGTACCTAGCCATCCAGAGATGAACACCATAGCAAACCTTCAACTTCTGGATGGTACCAAAGGGAACTAGCAAAGAACATATATGACCAATTTAAGTCTCACAAAATGCTTACCCCTCAGTACCTCAATGATGCAGCAATTGTCACTCTTATTCCCATTTTACACAGGAGGAAACTGAGGTTCTAAGAAATGCAATAATGTGCCCAGGGTCCCACAGAGTTTCAGAGCTGGGATTCAAACTCTGATGTCTCCTGATTCTAAATCTAGTACACTTTCCTTTAAAGTATGCCAATGGTAATCTACCACCTGCTTCATGATGAAGCTGTTACCCATTTCCTGAACCTGGACCTGGAATTACTTGGACCAGCCTTACCCACTGGCAGAGTAGGTGTCATCTGTGTGATGTGTAGGGTAAGGAAGGTCCTAAGCTTTGGACTCTCTTTTCGGGATTCACAGGATCACAATTCCACCATGCTGACTAAAATCCAACCATTAGAGAGTCATTCCTTTGGGCATTTATCTCCAAAGGATGCTTATTTCAGCAGTAAATGCCACTCAGTAAATAAATTTGTCATTGGCTATTTACCATCAGATATGATGGGGTTTATTGCTCTGCTCCACCTGAGGGTAGGGCCCTGAGGAAATGGAAATTTTTGTGGGTAATTAGGATATGGAGAGTAATATTTGAGCACTTGGCACTTGGGCTGACCCAATTGGAATACCATACTCTAGGGTTCAGGGCAACTGGGGGCCAAGACATGGTGACTGAAGAGAGGGGATCTGAATATAGAAAGAGAAGGTCAGAGAGGGGTGATAACATAATGGAGTGAAAAGAGGGCTGGAGGCAGTGTCTGCATAAGAACACAGTTCAGACACTTACTACCTTATGACCCTAGGCAAGTCATTATATTTCTCTGAGCCTCAGTTTCCTCATCTGTAAAACAGGGATAGGATAATAGTATAGTAGCATAAATGGGGATACTTATAATACATATTATATACTATCATATTACATAATATAGTATATAATAATGTAATAGTATAAATACAGATGGATAATATTTGATCTAGCTCCCCCACCCAAGGATTGGGAATAATTTTGTCAATCTTAAAATATTATCAAGATGTGAGTTTTTATTATTGCAAAATAGAGCCAGAGAGTGGTAGAGGGCTTTGACTAATGATGTTAGCAATTATACCTCTTTTATGAAATTACACACTTTTTTTGGTATTTCAGTTGTCTATGTCACCCATTCAGTGTGTCATGTCCCCCCGCTAGACTGGGCAGGGTAAGGACCTTATCTAAGCCCCTCTATCTCATTCAACACCTATGGGAGGTCCCTGCACACACTCTTTTTTTGGGGGGGGGGGAGGGTTGGCAATTTAAGTGACTTACCCAGGGTTGCAAAGTTAGTAAGTATCAAGTGTCTGAGGTCAGATTTGAACTCAGGTCCTCCTGACTCCAGGGCCAGTGCTCTATCCACTGCGCCACTTAGCTGCTCCCCCTGCATACATTCTGTGGGTACTTGGTGAATGCTCATTGGGTTGAGTTGAAAGCCTGACTCTGGTGTTTAGACCTCATCCTATTGGCTGGTACTTTAATGATTTTATGTCTTCAGTCATATTTCAAACCAATTCAACCCAACAAATATTTATTCAATTCCTACTCCAGGCCAGGCACTATTCTTGCCACCGAGGATAGAAAGACAGCAATAAATTAGTCCCTGCCTTCATGGAGCTTAGACTATTCTAGGGTTGGGATGAGGGATATTGATATAACATATATCCAAACTAGTAAATACAAAGGAGCTTCAGAAGGGAGAGTGTGCCGATAACCAGAAGATCAGGAAAGGCCTGCTATAGGAGAGGGCTCAGGTATGGTTCTTGGAGAAAGCCAAGGGATCTAAGAGGAAGGAGTACATTCCAGACATGGAACATCAAGATATGGAGCTTGGAGGTGGAAAGCTGTGTATAGGATACAGCTAGTAGTCAGTTTTATTGTGATGGAGAATATGTAAATGATATGACATGAAATATGCCCACAAAGGTGGTTATGTGGAAGGCAGATTTGGCAGTCATGTGTAGGGTGAGTTAGGGCAGCTAGGTGATGCAGGGGATAGAGCACCAAGCCTGAAGTCAGGAAGACTCATCTTTATGAGTTCAAATCTGGCCTCAGACACTTCACAAGCTGTGTGACCCTGGGCAAGTCACTTAACCCTGTTTGCCTCAGTTTCCTCATCTGTCAAATGAAGGAAATGGTAAACCACTCTAGTATCTCTGCCAATAAAACCCCAAATGGGGTCATGGAGTCATGAAGTTATCACTGAAATGACTGGACAACAACAAAAACAGGATGAATTGGAGATAGAAGAGAGTGGAGGCAGAGAAGGCAATAGGAAACGACTTCAGTGGTTCAAGAGAAGGATGATAGAGGCTTGAACTAGGGTAGAAGTAATAGGGTCATCTGAACTAAGAGGCTGTGTGAATGAAGGATTGTTGTGAATGTAGGATTGACCAGATTTGGCACCTGATTGGGGGTTGAGGAAGAATCAAGAGTTGAGGATGATTCCAAGGTTGTGAACCTCAGCAATTGAAGGATAGTGGTACCATGAGCAGAAATTTCAAATTTTGGAGTAGGGATGGATTTTGAAGGGAAATATAATGAGTACTGTTTTGGACAGGTTGGGTTTGAGATGTCTTGGGAGACATATCCAGTGGAGATGTCCAGCAGGCTGTGGGACTAGAGTTTGGGAAAAAGATGAAGGCTAGTGTTATAGACATGGGAGTCATCTGCATAGAGATAACTGAGTCCATTTGAATTGGTGAGATTACCAAAAGAGACAGTGTAGAATCAAAGATGAAAAAACCTTGGGAATGCCCACCTTTACTGGGCAAGAGGATGATAATGACACAGCAAAGGAGACTAATAAAGAATGGTCAGCCAGGTAAAGAGAGCTATGAGAAGCCAAGGGAGGAAAGAGTGTCCAGGAGGAGGGCATAATCAAGAGTGTCAAAAACCTCAGAGAAGTCGACAAAGATGAGGACCAAGGAAAGGTCTAAAGTAGGTAGGAGATATTGGTAACCTAGGAGAGAGAGGTTTTAGCTGAGTTGTGGGGCCAGAAGCCAGATTGCAAGGGGTTGAGAAGCGAATAGGAGGTAAGAAAAGTATAGACAATTTTTCTTGGAAGTTTGACTAAGACAGGGAGAAGAGATATAGGCTCATAGCTTCAGGGAATGGAAA